CCTCCTTAAGCACATTAAGACTTAGAAATACGATGACACAAGAGCGCTTAAACAACTTATCAGTGATGGCGATAGAAAGAGAACTATTGCAAAGTCTTGGAGCCGATCCTCAATTTTATGAAAACATTATAAGTAAATTTGCAAATTTAAAACTCGGACGAATAAACTGTTTTATAAAAACATTCACTATGTTTTTAAAATACTTTGTTGAAAGTGGAGGCAAACGAAAAGCTGGCGGCGTTGTTTTCTAATGTAAATAGATAAGTTTCCTGGCTTCCTTATGAAAATTTGTTTTTATATTTTTTCATATTTTTTAATAATAATAAACCAAGTAGGAACAATTTTTTTAATTATTAGGTAAATATATTACTCAGTTTTTTTTTCTGTTACTTAATTTTATTGTAAATACAGTTTTTAAAATACTGATATTATTATTAATAATATAATTTTTTAATTTACGGTATATAGTAAGGGTATTGGCGAAGATCCCCATAATAAAAAATGACGTGGAAGGAAAATTCCTATTTATTATTTGAGAGCGGATTAATAAAATATCCAACTAGTTGTACATTGTTTTTTATAAAATCTGAATGAAAATCCTGCTCGTGAACATCAGTTTTTCTACTGCTGGAACTTAAAACCAGGTACAGATGTAAGCATCGAACTCCTACTTTTGGTGAATTGATTATTTAATAAAAGAACTGTTTTGCAATCAATAAGAAAGAACATAAATATGCATCTAAAAGCAACTTAACTTTGTCAATACCTTTGTAGTCAATANCTTTGTACCTTGGTTGTTCATTCATGTTTACGGAATTCGCGCAAAGTTGACAGTAATGACAGTTGACCCAACTTTTACCACCACGCCATGGCAATGTTGCCAGATTTCATCCATAATTTTACAAGCTCGTAATGAATAAATAGACGCTTTTATTCAAATAAAAAGTGAACTGACGTGTATTAAACACGAAAAAAATATGCAAGCTAATATGTGTTGTATAAATTTCATTCTAAACAGCATACTTAGTTTGCTGAAATTAATTTATGTAAGGTTGGTACTGCAACAAGACTCCCGTGTATAAACATAGGCATACTCTCCGCACCGCCCGCCCCGGGAGAGGTGTATCGAACGTCCTTAAATACAATTACAATTACAGGAAAAAAAGGGAATTGTAATTGCTAATTACTTTTTCACCAGGAATTACCCAGTTCTGTATTCTACTAGATTTAGCTATAAGTAAGCCTCCGAGCCGCCAGCACTTCACAGGGGACTCACCTTAAACCAGCACCCCAATCAGTGAGAGGCCTAGTAGCCCATTAAATGAAATTTGTAATACATGTAAATCAAAAGGTAATTCGTTTCAGATTGAAACTTTGTTTAATCGATAGTTTAGGCAAAAAGAGATAATATTTCCCAAAAAGTATCGGTTTAAAACAACAAGATCATTGTTTAATGTAAAAATTACCAATAATTGAGTTTTTTAGCCATATTAAAAAGCGCTCTCCAACAGAAGTTTTTGCTTTTGTTTATACTTGTAGGTTTTCAAAAAAACGCTTCATTCGAGACCTGCTAAATTAAAATCCATTAACAATTTGTTTAAATATTTGCAAAAAACCAACAAAATTTGAATTTGCTATAAATAGAAGAAAAGAGCATACATCGTCTCTAAACTACAGTAAAAGTTGTATTTTGTTACCCTTAAGAAACCCTGAAAATTTGGTAAAAAAATATTTATTTGTTTACGAGTTTTTGCCGAGGGGTGTGCCACTCAGCAGTAAAACGTACACCTACATAAATTACTTAAAATTACCTTGCTACTTACCAGCAATTTTTATAATTTTTTGATATAAGTAATTTCGTAATTTAAGCAATTTATAGATTTGTTCTGGTACTTTTCGTAATTTTTAAATATAATTTCGTAATTTTCGTAATTTGTAGACTTTTTCACATACTTACAAGAATTAATAGACGTCTTCAAATAATTTTTGTAATTCTGTTATAATTTTTAATAATGTATCTAATTTCATAACCTAATTATTTTCGAAAAAGGAAAACATTTGTTTTACAAGTAACTACACTTATTTGCATACTTCTTTAAAAAGGTGAAAATATTAGATAGATAATTTTATTAGTTGGGAGTAAATTTATTTGAATTAGCTAAAATAACCTTACAATAAAGTAAAAAAACTACAAAAGCTAATAATAATTAATAAACATTTAGGTAAAACATTGTGAGTGTAATTCGACATTGGTTGGTGTATTAATCCACAGAGTAGTTGGTTTTCCCCCATTTTTTTTTAGTTCCTTTTTTTTAAGTTTTTTTCCGGATTGGGTTCCGCACTCTTGTAAACTTTTATATTGTTGATATTTTAAGAAAAAGTTATTCTTAATAAAAAGTTGTGCTTATCTTGGAAAGCCATGGACAGTAATCAAATTTTAATACCATGCATCCAAAATATTTCAAAATGTGAAATTTTCCCTATGCAAAGTGCCTTTAATTTTTGTTTTCATTAAAACTGTATTTAACAAAGTTGTTCAGGAACTCAACAAATGCTTAAATGAGGGATTTAGTAAAAAAAAGAAGGATAATCACATTTTGTAACTAAAAAGATGCCGCCATTTTTAACTATCCTACATACCATATAATTAGTATGGATATTTCCTCAGCTATTTCCTTATTAATGTCAAAGTCAACATATTTATTTTTATTAACTGCCCATAATAATTTTTATTAATAATGGAGCAACGAATCTATCTTATGGTGGTGTTATGGTTATGGTGTTACGGTGATGTTTCATATTGATATGCAATAAAACTTTTTGATGAACAGTATCGAAATGTAATTGTAACTCGTAGGGCAGATCGCAAGCTAATTATAAAATTCGATACCACTGGTGATGTAAAGAATATTGAAAAGATAGAAAAAAGAATACAATGATAACGATATTGCTACTGTTGTAGTTATAAACTCTGTACAAGACAATCCAGGAAAAAGTCGGAAAACATAGATACTAATTCATGTCATACTCAAAAAATTTTAGAATGCTACAAAATATCCATTTAAACTAATGTTTAATTATAAATTGCTTGATGATGGTCGTCGTTTGGACTTTTGTTTAACAATGGGGAGAAATTGAAAACATTCTTCAATCACAATATTTTACTTATAGACGAATCAACATTCACAACTAATGGCATGGTTTCTGCATGTTCAAAAAAATAAATGTCTGGTGTGTATCATAAAATAATTGGTCCTTACTTTTTGGAAGAAAATCTTAATCAAAATTCGTATTTGGAAATTCTCAATAATTTTGTTTTAGCAGAACTAGAGTGAAAATTTGAATTCAGGAGAAAACTAATATTTAAACACAACGGATGCCTTGCACGATATGGACCAATATCTTGGCTTTCACGGTCACCCGACTTGTCCCCATTAGATTATTTCTTAGGGCATAACTAAAGCTTACTTAAGCAAAAAATGGACATTAATTTATAGATTTTTTTTAATTAGAAAAGCTACTTTTATTTGGTTCTCAGGCTATATATTATATTAAATTTAAATAAAAGTACTTGTTTTTTACAATTTCTATGCCATCACACTTTATTATTTTCCCAATAAGCTACTCTTCATCATAAAATTCCGCAATATTTTTGTTCGGTTACTTCCGTTACTAATTTAGAAACACAATTTGTTTTATTAGTAAGATTTTTATTTTTATTATTTTACCACACAAATTTTCATTATGAACAAACTAGACTGTTTTTTCAACAGTACCTAGGTACGTAAATCTAGGCAAAGCAACAGAAGTTAGTCCGTATCTCTACGATGTTTTCACAAAAACTGAATGAAATATTTTTAATCAAACCATTTTATTTAAGTACTTTCAGTAATTTTAAAGAATAATTTAAAAAATCTTTGTACTCTTATCAGGAAATTTTTTGTACTTTTTGTAATCTCGTACATACTTTTTGTAATTTACCAAAGAATTTGGTAACATTTATACTTTAATAAATAATTTCTATACTTTTAAAGTAATTTTAAATTATAATATCTCAAACGTACACCAAAAATTACTTGTGGCACACCCCTCGGTTTTTGCATTTGTTTATTAGAAATAATATTTTTTCAATTGCAAAAACGCGTTAATAAAGGGGCTTATGAGGGCTCATTTGTTTCGTCTTGACTCATATTTTCAAGATATGCAATTGGAAATTGTAATTTCATAGGCTAACCTCCTCAAAACGGTGTATAAACAAATAGTGTAATTTGTTTATAAGGTTTTTCGTTAATAATTTTCAACGAATTAAAAAAAAATGTGCCAGGACCATTTTTAGCCGAGATAACGTTTTTTTTTAAAAACATTAAATTGTTTATTGGTACTATTGTGAAATATTATTTCTCGATTTTTTTACAAAATTAATAGTTTATAACAAATTAATAATTAATTGCTGCAAAATGGACCGTGCAGTTGTTATTATTTTCATGCGCTACTCCAGATTAAAAAAAAGAAAAACGTTAAAATTGGTCCACAATTACCAGAGATATCGCAAAATTTTCGGGCAGTTAAAAAATTTATTCGAGGACGTTTTTAAAGGGTTAAAAATTACTATAAAATGCATTTTTTTCGATATCTTTAACCGTTATTATGAAGTTTAAGGGTTAATTGATTTATTCCCGAAATTTCAAGTCTTAATGTTTATAAATAAACAAGTTATGAATTTAAAAAAAAAAGCTATCTCGGCAAAAAATGGTCCTAGAACAATTTTTTTTTAAGTTTGAGAAAAATTATCAGGTTACGAATAACTAAGCGACTTTAAAAAATATTTTAAGAAAATGTCTTTTTTCGCAAAAACACATTTTTTGTCATCAAAAAAGAAAAAAATGACAATAATTAATTGAAAAAAAATTTCTAATGTAGAATAGATCAAATTTCTGTGGTAATTTAATCGGACTATAATTTTTTTTAACTGTGTGACGACATATTTGTATTCCACCAACCTTAATATCCGCCTTCCTCTCGCAGAGCACGTACACCAAGAACGGTACGTCATTCTTAACGATAAGCCTCGTGTGGAACTGCGAAAACCCGGGGTTCTCCACAATAACGCTCTCCTCGCTTATGATGTCGGGATGGTTTTCCACGAAATGCCTGTGCGCCTCGTGTATCTCCAAGATTTCGCCGCAGGGGCACTTCATCGGCTGGTGGATGCAGGTCTCCTCGTGCGACTTGATGGTGTTCCAGGGGATCTCCCTCTCGCAGCTCGGGTGGATGCAGGGGAACCTCATAGTGGAGGCCAACGTTTCGAACATAGTGGCCGGAATGTTCACTTCTGTCTCGACGAAGTAGCACCTCCCGCACTTGTACTGGTTACCGTAGAGGGATGTGATTAGTATAGGTGGCACTGTTAGGAAATTGTCGCATATCGAACACTTCAAGTTGGCCAAAGTGTCTCTGGATATCGCCCCGTTGGTGTTCTCCATTTTGGCTAACGAATCTTTAGTCGTTGACCTTCACTTTGCTTTGCAAAACCTACAAGGTAAATAAATACACTAAATGAAAAGTAAACAAATTTCGTAAATGAAACAGTCACATTGTAAGACACTGTGTATATCGCTCGATCCTGATGAAAAGTTTTTAAAATGGTGGTGTTCTAGCAACTCTGAGGCAGATAAAAAGAAAAAAATCTGTGTAAAATACTAGTTTTTAGGGTTAAAAATTGCGCGGCCTAAGAAACCAAAATGACGCTCTAAAATAAAAGTAATCACAATAAATAATGATAGTTTGAAAACTATATGCGTCTCTGTCTTATAGCTGCCTTTGAAAAAGGAACGTTTCTAACAACCAATCAAATATAGAAAGAGAGAGATAACTATAGCACTTAATCTGTTTATTTCATAAAGCATTTGTGTCATAACCACATGGTACATTATGCCTACCAGCCATTTTGCCTTGGTCCACATGAATTATTTGAACTAATAATTAGTTTTCGACTTTATTACGTTTCGTAGGGTTTCTACAATAATAAAAATTCAATCAAAAAAGCAATGTTACATTGCAATGGATAACTGTCATTGAAATTTCATTGCTTCTTCAGCACTAGAAACGAATTTGTGTTTTGCCGTGTAAGAGCGGAAGTGAGCAAAAGAAGAAGTAGACGAGCAGACGAGTTGGAGAAGCTGATTTTTCTTAAACGTTTGCAATTTGCATGTCGATTGTCGGCTTTTTGCTACTGGTATTAATTAATTATAAGCAGAAAGAAGAACTTTAGTTTCTTCGTGTATAGTGTATATACATATACTAAAGGTAAGTACATATCGAACACAATTTTTATGTGATGAACTATACCTTTAACAATTCAATTTCCATCTGCTGATAACGGATAATTATACAATGGAAAAAAATGTTTTTGGGAAAAGTGCTGACGATTACGTAAATTTTCTAAAACATTTATGAGGGAATGGGAGAGGTATTTCACAAATGTTTATACTAAAAAATAACAACTTTAATTTTCTATCTATTGGAAAAAAGTTTAATAACCTAAGAATTTGTAGGTGAAATGTCATGAAATTTGAGTGTATGAGGGTAAAACAAGATTGGAAACTATATAATAGTTTATTTTTAAAAGCATTGCTATTACGTGGAAAGAGTGAACAGGCAAAATATTGTGGAACTGAACAAAATAGTGAAATAAATAATAAATGAACAATAAAAATTACATTGATGCCGTTTTGGCCGTTTATTAATTAATTGGATAAGTTTGCTTATGGTCTGCGCTTCCAGATACCGTAACATGGACGACACGATCTCCGAGGGTGTGATCCAGATCCCGGTGGACTTCGCGACCAACCTGAAATGCATCGTGTGCAACGGCTACCTGTCCGTGCCCCCGATCGTGTCGGGCAACAACGGCAAGAACGTCTGCGGCCGCTGCGATTTCATCACCTACAACAAGCAGGAGCGCCGCAACATCATCTACGAGGACGTGGCCAAGCTGATGAGCTTCCCCTGCATCTTCGAGAAGTGCAACAAGCGCATCCCCTGGGGGGAGGTGGAGAAGCACGAGAAGGTGTGCTCGTATGCGACGATCCTCTGCCCCAAGAAGGACTGCCACGAGGTGGTGCTCGTCAGGGAGCTGGTCACCCACTTCACGTGGCAGCACAAGTCGGAGAAGGCGTCTAGCTACGGCGTCAACAACGTGGACATCGACCATAGCGTGCTGGAATCGCCGCAGTTGCTGATTTGTCGGGAGAAGCCGTTCTTGCTGTTCGCCTATAAGAGCAACACGTTCATCGGGATCAGCGTATACTCGCTGGACCCGTTCGAGGACGAGAATATCAAGTACTTCGTGACGCTCACCTCCAACAACGGGTTGCTGTCTAAAGGTAATTTATTGGTTTTCATTCGTTTTATGTTTTGTTTCATTTTATTTGTGGTTTTGGAACTATTTTTCTTTTCCAGTAGCTGTAAAAAAATTTATAGTCCGGGAGAATTTGACCAAAAACACGCCTGTTTCAAAAATCGGGCCTAAGTCGAATTTTATGGTCTTAAAATTAAGTAAAAAATACACAGAACGAAAGCCTAATTTTATGTATTTGTAGAGGTCAAGCGTCATAAACTATCATTGTTTGTAACAAAAAAAATTGCAATTTTTTCCGTTTTTCGCTTATATCTCCGAAAATAAGCCTCTAATCGATGAGGTACACTTATCGATTTTGTTTCTGAGGAAATTTGCTACAAGGATAGGCTTTTGCAATGCTCGCAAAATTATTTTTTCTTTGCAAAATTGGCAGTAAAAGAAAAATATGTGCTAAATTTTCAGCATTAAATAAAAAGAACGAATTTAAATTTCAGATTTTTAAGCTGTAAAATAAAAAGTTATAACAAAAAAAAAAGGTAACTAGGGTCCTTATTTCAGCGGTTTTCTAATATACAGATTTCAAACCAATTGCATCAAATAATGTTTAAAAAAACCTTGGTTTAAAAAAAAAGCATCTCGATCCGATCCGTTTTTCTTTAAACGGTATTTTGGCTGTTCTATTTAATATTTTGTAATAAACTTGGGCTCCTTGTAAAGTAGAAGACCTCCTTTATACGCTGAATTTTTTTTCAATTGATTCGACCAAGGAATGATCGAGTAAACGTTCGTTAAAGACAGCTGTGATGTCATTGTGCACGCCGCCCATCCTGTGTTTGGCTTATCAAAATTCTTAACAAATGAATTGTGGCACTTAGAAAGCAGCTGCTGGGATGTTTTTTTCGAATGGCGTAAGCAAAACTCCGTGAAAGTCATCGCCAGACTCCGAAAAACACATTTTTATTGATTTTTCACGTTTTCATTATGCCTTTGACATTTTGAGAAGTAAGAAGGTGTTTTTATGTATCTAAAAACAAGTCAAAGTCCTTCTTACTTGTCAATATGTCAAAAGCATAATGAAAAGTCATTAAAAATGTATTTTTCGGGGTCTGGCGATAATTTTCACATACTTTTGCTTACACCATTCGAAAGAGAAGAAAAAAATAAGTTGATATAAAGAAAAAGCATTCCGGTAACTGCTTTCTAAGTGCCACAATTCATTTGTTAAGAATATTTAGAAGCTGACTGCAGCATGAACAGCGTGCACAATGACGTCACAGTTGTTTTTAACGAACGTTTACTTTGGCATTTCTTGGTCGAATCGATTAAAAAAAAATTCAGTGTATAAAGGAAATCTTTTACTTTACAACGAGCCCAAGTTTAGAACAGCCAGAATACCATTAAAAAAAAAATTATCTCGGCTCCGATTGGTCGGATCGAGACGCTTTTTTTTCAGTTTCATGTATTTTTAAGTACTATTTGATGCGATTGGTTTGAAATCTTTTATTAAAAGACCACCAAGATAAGACTCCTAGTTAGTTAAAAAATCTGAAATTTACACAAACGCGAGATAATATAATGACCTTTCGATCCTTTTTCACCAAATTTTAACATCTTGATTTGGGTAGAAGATATATGCGCTCGTGTTTTCTACTTTATAATTTTGCAATAGGCCGCCATTTTGAAATTGGGCGTCCGGATTGCGGGTATTTGTTGAGCACCCCAACAGTTATATTTTAATGTAGTTTCATCCAATTTCAGTCAAAGAGTGACCGCAAAAAAACTGATTTTCGCCCGTTTTTCACAATTCGCAGATAATTAAAAAAATTACATAAAAATATGTTTTTGGTCGCAAACTACTTGTAAAAAACTAAAATGAGCATAGCTTTTAGTATTTTGAAAATTTAAAAAATCACCCCCACTTGGGGGTTGAAAAAATGTCAAAAAATGAAGAATTTTAATTACCAATTGATATAAAAACTATTAGCATGTGAATTATCTTAATATATATTTTTTGGAATTTTTACAATTATTTCTGATATTCTCTATTTTTGGGGATGATTCCACCCCTGAGCGCGCTTAAGGGTGGATTTTCTAATTCAACGTGCTTATTTCAGTCGTGAGAATAAATCTTTCTTTGTATCAAGAATCATTCGATAGAAAAATTCACATGCTAATAGTTTTTTTGTATTTATAGTGGTCAAGATAGATTTTGACTTCGTGAAAATTACGGGAAGAGGGAACTTTTTATTTTTCGCTTTGTAAAGTTGTCAGAAACAACATATAAAAAGTTACCAACTGTAGAGTGTACGCTAAATTATTTATTTAAAAAATTAGTTGCAAAATTAGTTTTTGCAAAATATATAAAAAAAAATTAACTGCGCCATTCGAAAGAACAGGAAATTTTACATAAAAAAATGTTAAAAGTTTTTTTCTAAGATGCGAATTGAAGGCTAGAATTTTTTTTCTGACGTACGAAAAATGAGACGGGCGGCCCCCAAGTCTAGCTCTCGAAGAGCTCGTGGTCTCGAGTGCGCTACACTAAATTTGTTATAACTTTTGATTTAATTGATCAAGTCTACCACACAGAAATTTAAATGAAAGAAGAGTCTTCCGGCTATCAAAATTTTATGTCTTTAAACTTGAGAAAAAAAAATATATAGTACATACTTACGTACAAAGTTACGTCATTCTACAGTTTTGTACAATAATAATAAAATAGCTGTCACTCTTTTAATTTTTAAAATAAATATCTGTAACTTTGATAGATTACTCTTCAAATGACGATTGAAACAGTGAGCGATATGGAAAAAGTCTTAAAAATTTAATTTGAAAAATATTGAGCCCACTATATTCAATAATTTTTAAAAAATCACAAATTTGACTTTTTAGGCCATACTTTTAAGATGGTGCATTTTATTTTTCGTAGAAAATTAAAATAATAGTTAAAAAAACAAAAAATAAAAATATTTCATGAAAAATCACTGAAATTTATTGTTAAATAAAGTTTAATAATGTACAAAAAAATTTTTTTTATTTAAAAAACCATAAAAGAATTAAGTTAAGACCTTAAAAAAAGTAAATCCAGCGAAAAATAATTTTTTTATTTATACTAATGGATCGAAAATTGTTATAACAGCAAAAAACGTTATTTTTTGCTGAATTGATTTAATATTCATTTTTAAAAAGTATGTTCTGTATCTGAAATTGTGAATATAAGTTTGAAACCTGCTCGGTGAGTATAGCACACACATGGTGTATACTGCTACATTGAAATATATACAATAGCCTTGCTTACGAAGGGGAATTTTGATAGTTGTTTTTCTTGTCAGTTTGAGGGTGACGAAGCTATGCAGTGAGCACACCAGTTTTCGATTTTTGTTTTCTAATCGCATTTTTTTCGTATTCAAAAAAGTTTTTCACAAAATACAAAAAAATATTTTCTAATGTTAGGTGATTAATACACTTAATTATTATCTTTATAGCACCGACAATTTTTCACATATGATTATTACGTAATTATCGCAAAATGTGTTGTTTCAAAAACTGCGTTTTGAAAATCAACTCCTCAAATATTTTTTTGTTGCAGTTTTATTTTAAAAACGTTTTTCGTTTGTAAGAATGAAATAATTATTATTATAAAATTATAAATGGTATAAGTATATGATTTTTATGTTTTCCAGTAAGCTGCAGTTATCAGTGTTAAAAAGTGTATTATTCACATATTTTGTCCATTTTGAGATTATACTCTCGTACGCTTGTAATTCTTTAATGTAATATTATTACTTAATATTACAGATAATCTTCAGTTTGCATTTAAGGTATTTATATTTGTTTTCTTTTATGCTAAACCTGTAAATGTAGTTTAATATTTATATATGAATATTGATCCATTTTTAAAATAATTAATGAATAAATAAATAATAGACGTTGATTTTGATTTTGTAATTTTGTATTTAAAATCAGGTTTTTTTTTTTCAATTTTATTGGCTTAAAGTTTAAGCGCCCAGTTATTTTTGAAGAAGAGCAAGAACTCGATCAGATTTAAAAATTAATTAATTTGTAATAAATTAGTTTTTTAAAAAATAAAATATATTTTCAATAAAATCTCTAGCCATTTATAATTTTCATTTTTCGAACCTCTATATTTCAAATATGAGCGAGTTTGATTTAAAATCGAAAATTGTTAAATAAATTGTTTAAAATAGTCGGCCATATTGGATCAGCCATTTTGAATTTTCATTTTCCGACTTCATATTCTTGTTCAGCGACATCGAAAACCCCTATATTGTCAATTTGAAAGAATTCGATTTAAAATTCGTCGAATTATTTTAAATATTCTTAAAAAAACTATTTATTANAATATTTTTTGCTGAATTGATTTAATATTCATTTTTAAAAAGTATGTTCTGTATCTGAAATTGTGAATATAAGTTTGAAACCTGCTCGGTGAGTATAACACGCACATGGTGTATACTGCTACATAGAAATATATACAATAGCCTTGCTTACGAAGGGGAATTTTGATAGTTGTTTTTCTTGTCAGTTTGCGGGTGATGAAGCTATGCAGTGAGCACACCAAATGAGGAGTTGATTTTCAAAACGCAGTTTTCGATTTTGGTTTTCTAATCGCATTTTTTTCGTATTCAAAAAAGTTTTACACAAAATACTACAAAAAATATTTTCTAATGTCAGGTGATTAATACACTTAATTATTATCTTTATAGCACCAACAATTTTTCACATATGATTATTACGTAATTATCGCAAGATGTGATGTTTCAAAAACTGCGTTTTGAAAATCAACTCCTCAAATATTTTTTTGTTGCAGTTGAACCTCTATATTACAAATATGCGAGAGTTTGATTTAAAATCGATAATTGTTAAATAAATTGTTTAAAATAGTCGGCCATATTGGATCAGCTATTTTGAATTTTCATTTTCCGACTTAATATTCTTTTTTAGCGACCTCAAAAACCCCTATATTACAAATATAAGCGAGTTTGATTTAAAATCAATAATTGTCAAATAAATTGTTTAAAATAATCGGCCATATTGGATCAGCCATTTTCAATTTTCATTTTTTGACATCATATTCTTGTGTAGCGACGTCAAAAACCCCTATATTACAAATATAAGCGAGTTTGATTTAAAATCGAAAATTGTTAAATAAATTGTTTAAAATAGTCGGCCATATTGGATCAGCCATTTTAAATTTTCATTTTCCGACTTCATATTCTTGTTCAGAGACATCGAAAACTCTTATATTGTCGATTTGAAAGAATTCGATTTAAAATTCGTTGAATTATTTTAAATATTCTTAAAAAAACTATTTATTATTGTTTAACCAATCGAAAAACAGTTAGCGTACAAAAATAAGTTTATAACTTTTTTCTAATACTTATCTCCAAGTAATTTCAAAAGGTTTTGGGAAAATCCACGCTTCCCATAATTATTTCGATATAATGCGTAATTTTAAGCTATCTTTTGACTCCACTATTATTGATAATATCCAATTCTTCATTTTGGGCGTCTTTTCAACCCCTAAATAGGGGTGATTTTTGAAAATTTTCAAAAAACAAAGCCATGCTCATCTTAATTTTTTACGACGAGTAATTTGAGACCAAAAATATATTTTTATCTATTTCCTTTAGTTCTCTGCGAATTGTGAAAAAACGGGCGATTTTTGAGGTCACTCTTTGTTCTTTTTATTTATTCCTGGAAATTTCGCACTTTTTTTTCAACGCTAATTTTGCAATGTAAAATGTCATGTCGATTAGAAGGTTATTTTAGGAGATATAAGCGAAAAAATGAAAAAAGAGCATTTTTTTTATTATTTTGTTATAAACAATATGACACTCGACCTCTACAAATTAAATACACAAAATTACGCTTTCATTCTGTGTATTTTTTTACTTAATTTTAAGTCCATAAAATTCTACTTACCCGATTTTTGAAAAAAAAAAACAATTCCTCCGGACTATTATCATTCCGAAATGCAAAACAATTCTATTTTACGGTACATGAGAGATATTTTTTCCGTTATGATTAAATCCATAGATTTTTACGTAAACGAGTAGCTGCCACCGTCGGCCGTTGTTGGTACCGCCATTTCCGAGGCATAATAAAACGCGATAAAAGAAAAAAATATCTGTGCCGCCAATTTCACATAAATAACCTCAAAAAACATTCCTTCCCGAACAGGCCGCCAGAAGATCCTCCCGTTCAACAGCAGGGTCCACTGCGCCGACTGCTTCGAGAACAAGTGCAACAAGAAACACCACAAGTACTCGCTCCACTACAAGAACAACTCCAACCAGGAGTTGCACAACTCCATGACGACCAAGTTCGAGATCGACTCGGTGAAGCGCATCCTCGAGGCGGAGAAGGTGATGTTCAAGGTGACGCTGTGCGACTCGTCCTACCCGCCGTCCAAGAAGCGGAAGACGGGACCTTGCGCCACCCCCAACTCGGAGTGCGACATCTGCAAGACCCTGCTGTCGCTGCCGCTGGTCAGCCACAAGAGCGGCTCGAGCCTGCTGGAGTGCATAAAAGACAAGATCAAGACGTGCCCCTGCAACTCGGACATCAAGGATATCCTGGGGGATTTCGACGTCATCGACATCATGGACGATATCAAGGAGGAGGAGGACCCCGAGGTAGCGGGCGATAAGCCGGCGGATTCGAACGAGAAGGAGGACGCCGGATTGGATATTTCTGTGGCGGAGGTGACGCCGGCGCCGGTAGCGGCGGGGGCCGCCGAGCCGGCGAAGGAACCGTGAGTTTTCGTGACGTTGATCTTACTTCGTATTCCCTTAAAATAAGTGTAGGAATCTTGGAAATATTTTTTTTCCGTTCATGTTCAATATTTTTCTCGGTCTTGAATTTATTACTTTTCTATAATAAAAAATTGTAATTTAAAAAAATGACATATGAATAAAGTATTAGTTAAGGCATGTTCTCTTTTTTTTTTTGGATATTTTGATTTGGGCAGGTTAGGTCACAATTAACGTTTGTCGTTACGGGAAAACGGAGGGAGCGAACGGGAAATCGTCAGGTAAGTTTACCGTCGCTGTAAGGTCTGTGGAGTCGTCATAATTACTTTTTCCAATTTCATGAACTTCGTTTACATCGTGTGAAAGTTCTCGTTTTGCTCGACAATTTTTAATAAGAGAGTTTTCGGTATCTCTTCCCGTGAATTTCTGAAATTTTTCCGTGATTTTTAACAGACTGTATTTAGGTGGAAAATGGTCCACGGACTTGGAAAAAATTTTTTCAGCTAGGCCATTGCGCGGTTCAGATGGCTCGTTTATTCAGCTTCAATTTCCTTTTTTTTTTTTAATTTGATACGACCATTTTTCATGGAAATATTGGACTTTTAATGGAGAAGGGTTCTTTTGTCTTCAGTCCTCGATATCTCGGCGACAGACGGTCGTACAGAGAATTGAAGGGCAGTTTCGAAAACTGGAATAAGTTTCCTATAACATGCCACTGCAACTTTTCGGAAAAAAAATTGTTTTTCATCTTTTACACTGATTTTAAAAAGCAGGAAAATGGGTTATAACCCAGTTACTGTAGCTGAAAATATAGTAATAACCTCCGAATTTTTTATAACTGCATCGATTTTTCTCCAAATTTAGAATTAGGCTCATCTTATCCCCCACTTCAAAACTTATATATGTGCTAAGTGTGCTTTTCGTTCCTGAGGGGTGAAAACCACCCCTTATTGGAAAAAAAGAAAAAATACAAATTCAAGCATTTTATGTAATCAAATCTTTTTTATTTACGCAGTATGAGTAATTTCATGTGCTATCTAACTTGAAACTTAATGTGTCCCAAATTTTCAACCCGGAAGAACCTGTAAAAACCACCCCTTTGGATGAAAATATGAAAAAATTTTTTTTTCAACTTGAAACGTTTTAATCATCCATTTTTATCAAATTAAAATTGATTTCTTGATTAGAAAATCTTTTTTATCGATTGCAACTTTTCAACCCTTGAAAAATACCCCTTCTTTCGAAAATAAAATGAAAAAATATTGAAAGAGAAACATTTTAAATGTGCATTCGTATTAAATAAACATTTATTCCCTTCTTATAAAATAATTTTGAATTGATTGCAACTTGTCAACCCTTAAAAATTACCCCTTACATATATATATTTATATATATTTTTCTAAAATTATCACCTATTCACGTGTTTATTTTTTTGACAATAACTTTCTTACTTTTTAAGATTTTTAATCACACAAAGGCTCATTTTGCAGGGGATTGTAAGGGCTACGTGAACTGTTGAGATGAGCTTTTTTAAGCCCTTAATTTTTAAGTTTGAAGGGTTTAAAGGGCTCGAAAAGGGTGGTTCTCTCATTCATATGATAACTTAAAATGGCGATATCTCGATTAATATTAATTTTAGAGGAATAATAAAAATAAGCAAAATCATCAGCAAAAATAAAGCTAAATTTTTTTACTCTTGTATTTTTTCGTACACCCTTTAATTTTTAAGTTACAACGTAAAAATCGATTTTTTTTTTAAAATTTGAATAATTAACATTTTCAAAAATTAAGTTTTTTTTCGAAATCATGCTTTGTAAGTCAGCCAAAGACCCAGAACATATTCTTAGAACATAAATGAAGAAATCTGTAAATGGATTGCATTTAATTTTAATTCTGTCACCAAAGGCACTGATTTGTTTATTAATTTTTTCTTTAAAAAAATGAGACTATCATGTTATTTCGATCATATTTCCGTTAATTTTGATTCTAAAGACTTTTAAAACAGCTCATTTTAAAGGTTTTTCAAAGTACTTTAAAAAAGGTTCAAATAGTTTTTTTTCTAATATTTATGGTTTTGGCGTTATTTAACGTTAACTGGTTCCAATTTAGTTTTTAGCTAACATATAATAATGTTTAAAAATCCATAACTCGGTTTATATTGCAATTAGAGAAAAACAAAATAATGTTATTAGATTTGTTTTTTTATTACCTTTCTATTTGTTCATTATAACTTTTTCATTAAATCCAATGGTTTCAGAGTTATTTGCAAGAAGTGTCCGAAAACAAAAACTTTTTCAGTAAAAATCAACATTTTCAATGACGAATTACTCGGAAAGTACTTACTGGATTATCCAAAAAACTTTATATAACGTTTGTTACTTTGACTCCTCTATAGATTCCTGTGGTTATTCTGGGCGTAAAAATTTCCACCCCTAAGAAAAGGTGGGAACAACCCCCCAGGGCAAAAGCACACTTCGGCACTATATAAGTTTTGTTCCTTGAGGCATTCCCCACATTCAGTCAAAATTTTACGTCAATCGGTGCAGTTATAAAGAATTTGGAGGTAAAAACCCTGAGTAACTGGACTATTATGGTTTTTCAGAAAATTGACGGCTTGGAAGATTCTAGTTTTGAAATTTTGATGAAAAATTTTTCTGAGCATCACTTCAATCAAAAGTAAATGCAATCCAAAATTTTTTTTTGTCAATATTTGTAATCAATTGAATTTTTTTTTATGTTTTAAATTTTTTATTTTCCATATTTGATAAGTATTTAATGCGAAATTGTGAGAAAAAAACAAAAAAAAATGTTTCATCTTAAACATCAATTGATGTTTAAGAGGGTTCTAAACAAATAGGCAACCAGCAATACATTTTACTGCATAGTTTGCCTAAATATGAATTAATACACAAATAACAGACTTTCCCCCATTTTAAAGCAGATTTTCTATAAAACGGACTTAGTTTGAAACTCAAAGTACTTTTTGGTGTAAAGAAATTTGTAATTTGCCGCTTTTGAATTTAATTTAATTTAATTTACCATTATTACCACAATTTCGCATTAAATACTGATTAAATATAGAAAAAGAAATTCAAAATATAAAAAAAAATCAAAATTTTTTAGTGTTCTTTTTTGAATTGAATATTTCAAATTTTTTGTGAAATTTAAATAAGTTGGAAATTTTTCAGCTCCTATAATTTTTTGCCGTTTATTTTTGTGGAAATTCACGACATTAAAAAAAATGAATACTCAAATGAAAAAACGGGAACTCTTTTTTGAGGAAGCTCTGGAATTTATAAATCAGTAACAGACTTTGGGTGGGGGTGGGGGGGTCTGGGAAAGCCGTTTTATAGTCAATGTCTTATTCTGTTTTATTTTTGATTTCTTTCTGGACCATTTCTCGTGACGATAATTTTCCAATTCAAACAGTATGTAACCCACACTACATCCAGATATTGTGTCGTGTGGAATTAATTCATTTCAGGGGAAAAATCAATTTAAACTAACAAGTGTTTATGTATCTACAAATCAGAAGTACTTCAGAAAAATAACTGGTCTGATTCAATGCTGTGTGGAGCCTTAGTCAGCAGAGCAGTCATTCCCTACAATATCGTTAATAAAATAACCATTTTTAGAACTTCTTTGTTTGACTTTAAAATTGGAAATCTTGTCTCAATAATTGTTTTTTGACATCGAAATTAACCAAATTCTCGTTATTTTCGGTCCTATTTGTCCACATATAAAGAGCAGAGAAATTCAGTTTTCCCCTAGTATTTTTAAGGGATAAGTGGATTCTAGAATTTTTTTCAGAGCCAAAAATTGTATTTTAGGATTTTTTTTTAAATAGCTTCATTGAATTGTACTTGTTTTCTTAACCAAAAAATTTTCAACTAAATTTACGAAAGAAAACATTAAAATAGGCGTGGCTGACCCTAAGATCTGGAAAAGGATTTTAAATATACAGGGTGGTCACTTTTAAGGTGTACACCTGTAGTATCTCCTGAATTAGAAGATTGAAAGAACAGGGTGGGTAAAATTACAAAAAAAGTTGCACGTCTTCAAGCCATTTCGGATTCTGAAAAGAAATTGGAGATTAATTGCACTGTTCCCGAAATAATCTGAAATCTTGGCTCTTCTCGTTTCTTCCATATCTTTAATATCATTGAAAGAATAACGAAAATCGGTATGTATATATAAGGCGATATGCTCCATCTGTTGGAAGGTTAAAACATCTTCCAAGCCTCCTAGATCCTTGTTTTCATAACCAACTTTTGATTCTCTTATGGACGCCATATTGGATTTTGGCACCATATGATGGAGCATTAAGATTTAAGTTCAAGGATAAAGAGATTTTATTAAAGGTAAAAAAACATGAATTTTACGATTTATTTCATTTGATCGTAGTAGCCATGGAAAAACAAACGAAAATTTTGACATTTCTGTTTAAAAGTAAACAATCTGACGTTGCTTCTGTGTCTTGATCGTTTATTTGATATACATGTTTGAAAAATGATATGTTAATATCAAATAAAAATTAGTTTCGGTAAAAATCTTAAAAGACGTCAGTTGATTATGAAAAAATATATATTTTGAGTCGGCCACCCCTATTTTAATTTTTTTATTTCGTAAATTCTGTACGATTTTTTCTTTTTTTTTTGTAATGTCTGTATGTACCTAGAAGTCAACCCTTAAAAAAATAAGACCATTTAAATTTTCACGAGCCGTCACTGATTTAATTTGAGAAGAGTAAAAAGAAAACAAATTATAAAAAAACATAAATCTGGATTTTTAACGAAATAGTTTAAGAGGGCTCTATAGCAAATAGGCAACCAGCAAAACATTTTGTAGATTTTGTTACACAGTTTGTCTAAATATGAATTAATGCACGAATAACAGACTTTCCCCCATTCTAGCGTAGATTTTCTATAAAATGGAGTTAGTTTGAGACTCAAATTACATTTTGTTGTAAAGAAATTTGTAATTTGCCGCTTTTGAATCGTAAATTACAAATTTCTTTACACCGAAAAGTTATTTGAGTTTCAAACTAACTACATTTTATAGAAAATCTGCATCAAAATGGGGGAAAGTCTGTTATTTGTGCATTAATTCATATTTAGACAAACTGTGTAATAAAAATGTCTATAAAAATGTATTGCTGGTTGGCTATTCGCTATAGAGCCCTCTCAATCTATAAGTTATCAATATTTGCCACCCCTAAGACTTGTTTCATACATTACTTTTTTTTTCTTATTACTACCCTACCATTCAAAAATTAATTTCAGATAGACTGATTCATTCTAAACAAAAAAGGTATTGTAATTTTTTCATAAAATTTACGGTTTCTGAGCAAAAAATTTATTTAAGTCTTACTTTAAATTGGTCTTTTTTGACTTTCAACTAGTAAGCCCCTTTCATTCAAAATTAGTAAAAAAAATATGTAAAACAGGGATAAAAATGCATTTCTGAAGTTCTACAGCAGCAGCATCAACAAATTCCTTTCAATCATCCAAAAAAATTTTTAATAGTAAGTCTTCATAATAAAGAAAAAACAACCTACACATGAAATAAATTTAAATCACATTGGCTCAGCTGCCCAATATCGACCGCAACAGTCTCCAATTAAACATGCCATACCGAACAAACGTACTGATATTTTTGTGGTCCTTCGAACCGGATCAGAAAAAAAAACAAAGGTAATTAAGTACACACAGAAAATTAGATATGGCTATAATTGTCTTACATAAACTTATAATCCACGACAACTAAACATAAGAATTAATCATAGATAAACATAATCATTTCACAAAACCCTAACTTATACTTGCAAATATCATCGGAGAGCGTTTCAATAAGAAGCAACACAAGTGACAAGCACAAAATCTTATAGTAATAAAAAAAAGGAGGCAAATAGTAACGTCAAACGACAAAACGTGTATCGGGTAATTCCAACAATGCGAGGACTACGTTAACGGCGACTGCAATAAAAATAGTTTCTCCAATGGAATGTTACGTAAATCGTTTTAGAAATTAGGAAATTACATAATAGGTACCGTTTGAAATTATCCATACACGTGACGGAACTGACATTTCTCCCGATAATGTGACAATGCCCTCAATTCCAGCGACTAAATTTATTCGGAGGAAATGTCAGCCAGGAAAGTCCTACTTTACGACATTAGTCGCTTACTTTTAAAAAATAGACGATACTATTACTACAGTACAAGATTAAAAAAAAAACATTAAGTGTTACAGCTCAATATTGATTTCGGCCAGCGCTAGCGAACGCCATCCTCAGGGTAGCTTCGTAACCTACAAAACACAGAGTTTAGAAAACAACTAAGAAATTTGGATATCGGTACGACGTCCTGAAAATAATCGTACGTTTTGGTTGTTTTTATTATTTCGTGTCACACTTTTTGCTTCACATACGTGTTTATTAGACAAATTCAAATAAAATGTCCTATGTTGTAGTTCTATGACAATCTAGTTGGCAATGGAACTTCAACATAGCTTTTGTATCCGTTGTCAAGGGTCACTAGAAAATTATAAACTTTAAAGTAGCTTGTATGTCATATGTGTGAAACGAAATATTAAAATACACCTGATTAGAAACAACGATAATTTTTAAGAGGGCTCTATAGTAAATAGGCAACCAGCACTACATTTTTTATAGATTTTATTACACAGTTTGTCTAAATATGAATCAATACACAAATAACAGACTGTCCCCCATTCTATAGCAAGTTTTCTATAAAATGGACTTAGTTTGAAACTCAAATTTCTTTACACGAAAAAGTTATTTGAGTTTCAAACTAACTCCATTTTATAGAAAATCTGCGATAGAATGGGGGAAAGTCTGTTATTTGTGCATTGATTCATATTCAGACAATCTGTGTAATAAAATCTACAAAAATTTATTGCTGGTTGGCTATTTGCTATAGAGCCCTCTTAAGTCATTATTATTAAACCTTCGATTCTTCAATTACACTTGTTCGATTATAAGTTCCATTTTGTTAGTAAGTTTATTTTCGTCAAATATTTGTTTTCATTAATATGGAATGGTTCTATAGAAATTTGTTTTTAACAAGCTTATAGCATGTCGAAAAAAATTATCATTACATAAAGACTTGCTGATTTTATTTTTTATAAATTGAAAATCGTCAAAATATAGCTTGGAGCAAAAAATATACTCCTACCCTGAAAATCTGAAAGGGGAAGTCACTTGTTGAATTAATATTGATCAAACGAAGATTGGAGACACATATTTTTTGCTCCAAAGTCACTCTTAAATAATGTAACTTTCCGTTTTCTTAGTTTAAAATGTTGAAAGAACAAATTTTATAGCAAAGGAAACCGACAAATGTCAAGGTGTGGCTTTAATGCTTGTACCATCCGCAGGACTTAAATCAGTCGAGTTTGGTGGCTGATATAGCGAGTAAGAGGATACGTCAAACTTTTAGATAATGCAGAAAGGTTGTTTTTTGGTTACAGTAAAAATTAATTCAGCGAAATTAAAATTTGGGTTTGAGTGGACAAAAAGAGAAAGAAATGGTTCGCTTTTGAGATACAGGATGAACAATTTTGACACAGACTGATGGAATTTGCAAAAAAAATCATGGGATCTTTTTTTTGTACTAGAAATACAACTTTAATTGTAATAGACTGAATTTCAGTTAATCCCGAAACATAAATTTATGAAAAGCATCTATCGGTTTCCTTTGCTGCGATTACGGCTGGCTAAAAATTCAAACCACAAAGCCCCGCTCTCCCAACGAGAATTTTTAACGCATCGGCACGCTGGTACCTCGAGAGCTAAAACAGATTACAAGAAAAATACACAGTTCCCTGTCGGAGAAAAAGAAAATTAAACGGAAGAAATATGAACTTAAACATATACCAAAAACAAGAGACTAAATAAACGCGCCACGACTACTTCTTCTGTATCTTCGAGGGCGTCTCCGCGCCGTCCACATCCTCCGTATTATTCCGCTTCGCGCCCTCCGTCTTTACCATCTTTTTATCCTCCAACTGGGGCAACTCCACCTTCTTCGACAGGTCCTCCAGGATGTAATTCCTCGTCGCCTCGATCTTGGCGTCGCACGACGCCACCGGGCAAGTGTCCGCCGCCTTGGACTTGCAGTTGTTGCACATGGTGTGCCCCGTCAGGCACTGGTAGATCGGCGGGTGCATGTACTCCTTGCAAACGGGACACTCCAGCATCTGCAGGAATATCTTCTTCGCTTTCCTTATCAGCGTATCCTTGACGTCCTCCTTCGTGTCGTTCTTTTCCTTCACCTCCTCCTTGACGTCCTTGTCGGTTATCGTTATCGTGTACGTTATCAGGCCTGAGCCAAACATCTTTTTAACGGAGTCCCTGTTTATTTTAGTCGTCATCCGTTTCGACACCTCCTTACGGTTGTCTTTGTACAAGTGGAACTTCGACTTGCAACTGCCGTTCACGCACTTGAAGCAGTGCTCCCTCTCGTTGAACATTATGACGTTCTGGTTGCTGATCGTAATGGAGTATTTGCTGACGTCCGAGGTCAGTTTCACCTCGTACTGGCAGCCGTTCGGGTTCTCCACCGAACACACGCTTATGCCAAAGTTGATATCGTCGAAATCGAACAGGCTTATGAACGTCTTGCCGTTCTTCTCCAGAACGTCGATGTTATAGTAAGCATACACGTTCTTTATCGTAAAGAAATTGGTATGGAACAGATCGCTGTGTTTGTCTTTGAAATGGGACGATATCGACCATATCTTATAGTTATCGTGGCAGTTCGCCTTCGGGCATAAGATCGTGCGGTGGGGGCAAGTCCTCTCATGTTCCTTAACGTCGTTCGACAACACCTTATCGGTGCACTCCTTGTAGGAGCATGGGAACGATATCAGTTTGGCCAGGTGCTCGTACATGTTGACCTTAATGCTGATCATGGTCTTTATCGAGCTGCACCGCCCGCATTTGTACTGGTTCCCGTCGTCGGATATGAGGTATACCGGCAATATGGACAAGTAAAAGTCGCACAGGGCGCATTTCAGCTGATCGACTACGCTATCTGGGGGGACAAACTTTTCCATGTTAGACTGAAATCAAAAAAAATTATGCAGTTCACCCGGACGGGACGTGGCGCTTCGGGTGCACGACAGTTCGCTGGAAGGACGCGGTACTCGTGCCTCGGATGACTGAAGACGCGCTAACGGTTGTCGTTTCTGTGTGAATCGCGACTCGGGCGGAACCAGTGCCTGTTTTCTTTGCTTTTCTTGCGTTCTCCGATACCGAACACAATAAAGTAGGCAAATTTTTCAAACGACATTTTAAAATCTCAATATAGTCCAGTTACTCAGGATTTTTACCTCCGAATTCTTTATAACTGAACCGATTGACGTGAAATTTTGACTGAACGTGGGGAATACCTCAAGGAACAAAACTTATATAGTGCTGAAGTGTGCTTTTGCCCTGGGGGTGTCTCACACCCCAAAATAACCTCAGGCACCGATAGAGGAGTCAATTTTAAGTAACAAATGTTATATAAAGTTTTTTGGATAATCCAATACTTTCCGAGTAATTCGTCACTGAAAATGTTGATTTTTTACTGAAACAGTTCTTGTTTTCGGACAGTTTTTTGCAAATAACTCTGAAACCATTGGATTTAACGAAAAAGTTGTAATGAACAAAAAGAAAGGTAATGAAAAAACAAATCTAATGGCATTATTTTGTTTTTCTCTAATTGCAATATAAACCGAGTTATGGATTTTTGAATATTATTGTATGTTAGTTAAAAACTAAATTGGAACCAGTTAACGTTAAATAACGCCAAAACCATAAATATTAGGAAAAAACTATTTGAACCTTTTTTAAAGTACTTTGAAAAACCTTTAAAATGAGCTGTTTTAAAAGTCTTTAGAATCAAAATTAACGGAAATACGATCAAAATAACATGATAGTCTCATTTTTTTTTATGAAAAAATTAATAAACGAATCAGTGCCTTTGGCGACAGAATTAAAATTAAATGCAACCCATTTACAGATTTCTTCATTTATGTTCTAAGAATATGTTCTGGGTCTGTGGCTCACTTACAAAGCATGATTTCGAAAAAAAAAACTTTATTTTTGAAACGGTGAATTTTAAAATTTTTTCTGCGATTAAAAATCTTAAAAAGTAAGAAAGTTATTGTCAAAAAAATAAATACGTGTATAGGTGATAATTTTAGGAAAATTTAGGTCAAACAAAAATTTTTAAGCATTTAGATCTTTTTTGTATATATACGTATTTCAAATTCAAAATTATTTTATAAGAAGGGAATAAATGTTTATTTAATACGAATGCACATTTAAAATGTTTCATACCCTTTTAATATTTTTTTTTTATTTTCAAAAGAAGGGGTATTTTTTCAAGGGTTGAAAAGTTGCAATCGATAAAAAAGATTTTTTAATCAAGAAATCAATTTTAATTTGATAAAAATGCGTGAAAACGTTTCAAGTTGAAAAAAGAAAGTTCATATTATTTTCATTCAAAGGGGTGATTTTTAAAGGTTTTTCCGGGTGGAAAATTTGGGATACATTAAGTTTCATGTTAGATAGCACATGAAATTACTCATACTGCATAAATAAAAAATATTTGATTGCATAAAATGCTTAAATTTATATTTTTTCTTTTTTTTTCCAATAAGGGGTGGTTTTCACCCCTTAAGAACAAAAACCACACCTAGCGCATATATAAATTTTGAAGTGGAGGGTAAGATGAGTCTAATTCTAAATTTTGAGAAAAATCGATACAGTTATAAAAAATTCGGAGGTATTACTATATTTTCAGCTACAGTAACTGGGCTAATAATAACAGAAAAGCTTCTGTGAAACATTTTACTATAAAATTTAGTAGTGATTTTGGTGGTTAAAGTGGCCCATATCTGGAATCGTAAAGAACTTATTGCTGTATTGGTTTATGGGGAATGTCATCAAAATGCTGCCATAGCGTTACGATTGTACGCTTAGTCTTAGTCAACTTAAGACATTCAATACCAGTGTGGGTTACTTTAGGTTAAAATTAACTTAAAACTCTTTATTACAAACTAAGTTATTTTATTATAACGCTACGACAATTGTTTTCAAGATATTAAACAACCGAGCCTCCGATTATTTACGAAAATTTATAATATTCAAGTTTCAAAACCACGAATTACTTACTTTAAAAATAATTTATACGTACGGATATCGCATGATGTTAACACTAATACGTCGGTGTATTATAAAGACCTAAATGAGTACAACGAACTTCCTCAATACATTAAATTGTCCAAATTACTACAGAGTTAAAAAACAACTACCTTGTTAAAAAAACGTAATTAGTTATCCATTGAATTGTATCAGCCTATTATTTTTCTCTCTCTATTTCCTTTTTCCACTTATTACTTAATGTGTACATACATATTTGTTCACTATTTGCAAGCTAACCAATAATTATACATATATGCGTATTAGGCTGATTAAAATAAAATCGACTATTTTTTTCTTTTTTCAAAATCTCCTCTGAAATAGATTCAGGGAGGTGAGAGGAGATGCTTGTAAAAATCGGAACTCTTAATATTAATATTTAGAGGTCGTATATCACATGGGAAAAATTATTTTTCAATTTCAGAATTTTATATCTTAAAAACCAATAGACGGATTTAAATGACCGAAACGTATTCTTGTGGGGAATTGAATGTTCTACAAGACATGTCCCTTGTCATTTTTTGATAAACCTACTACTTTACTGCGTAAATAAAGGCTTGAATTCCGATTTATGTTTTTCGGGCGTTGATACGGGCCGCTACATCTAAAGAAGTAATATTGCTAATATTTCAAAACTTCCGAAGGCAAGACACAAGCAAAAATAGCACTGGTACACGACTACGATCAAATATTTAACGATACCGTCTTCAGTTAAACGAGACACATATTACAGAAAAATTTCATTACCTCCGTTAATAAAAAATTACATTCACACATAATTTCAGACGTTTCTATAATAAGTAACTAACAGAAATCTATACATTCCGTTCAGCTTATATAAATTAACACCACAAGTTACAACATTCAAAACACAGGTTTATTATAGTTACTTTTCTTATATGTAACTAGGTACAAAAAAAAAACTGACAATGTCAATTTAAATGTAAGGTTGTTCTGAAGTACCTAGTCCCCAATTTTTCAAAAAATCTAAGAACCTCAGGCAACTATTTAGACTTCAACAAAAGTTTGTTTTTCTACAAGTGCCAGGCAATATCACACATCGGCACCGTTTGTACGAAATCAACAGCTTTACACTACCATTTTCTTTATGGTCGGCGGCTAACAAACCACGAGAACCCACCGATCCATAAAATAACATGTGAAATTGAATTTGAATTGGCAAAAAACTGTAAACAAATAATTCGACAAACGTGCTCTCGCTTCGAGCCAGAACGGCAAGATGCCGACATAGCTTTGTGGAAGTTATGTAAATTGTAAACAAACTAAAACAATGTATTTGGATATAATTCGATAAAATGTAAGCTCTAGACGTTCTAAACGTAAGTACTTACTGCGTTTGATGTTTAACTGGCCACAAATACAACGTTTTCTGGTGTGAGAATGGCAAGAAATATCACCCAAGCCGATCAATAAAAGAGCCGGAACAGGTTAGGTTTACACACGCATTTACATAGAGGTTTGTTGATTTGCCCTGCACGTGTTTATTCATACGGAGTAAGTTTCGAAGTTTGGAAATATTATTTTTGGATGTTTTATTAGGGAACGTTAAAACACAGGTATTTTAAAATAGTTTTCTTCATAAAAACATCAAAATCATGTAGGTGCAATTCGTAAATTGTTTTTAATTAAATAAATTAACGAAACACAGATTCTGGGCGTGTTCAATTAAAAATATGAAATATCTTTTCTTGCAGTTTTAGAGAAATCAATTCGTACAAGATTTTGAAATTATAATCTGAGTTTTTAAATTCAGCATTGATTTCTAACTGTCAGTCTCAAGATCATGGACGAAACAAAACTCTGTTCGTTATTATTCTAAAAAAATTACATGTACCATTTAAAAAGGAGTAAATCCTCCATGCTCCGTGATTATATTAGTGCGACTCGTGGAATTTGTCAAAATTAGAGTTGTTTATTTGCATCTTTAACGTTTAAATTGATTTAGTTGCTATTTTATTTCGAATAAAATAGAAAATTATCTGTACGGATAACGCAACAGGAAAATGAGTCATTCTTCGATATCATCGAACCATAGACCAAAGATTATAGGAACGACGGAAATCGTTAGGTGCCATTAAGTGTCGAAAAGGCGCGAAATAATTTAAATTTAAAAATAATGACAATATACAGCCGATAATCAATGAGTTATCACTAATTTATCGTTTACGTGATGGCTACATTTGACGAGTTTTTCCGAATGCAGAATCCTTATTGATTGAATACACAAATGACTATTTTTTTGGCTTTTAAAAGATTCTAAGGGATATAAAAAAATGTAAGTACTGTTAAAGATAAAAATAATATTCTTAAATCGTTATCTGATAACATTACATCACTTGATAATGTTCACTTACATCTAAAAGATAAGGTACTTAATACACGCAAGTCTTTATATATTTATTGACTACCTCATAATTATAAAATGTCATTCACAAAATAATTGACGGGGAAAAAATATCGAAAAACCTAACCAACATATATTCAAAAAATAAATCAGAATATAATATAGAACAAAGTTTTCCCTCACTGAAATTTGATATTGTAACATGATTTTACAGGAAAATAAGCAGGAATTGCACTTCTAGAGGCCAGGAAAAAGGGTACATTCTTTTCAGCCAGTTTATTTAATGAGATACCCAAAATATGTACTTGCCAATTTGTGCCACATCAGATTTTCAATTTTTTCATAACGCAAAAAGTATATTTTGCTATAAATGCTTTGAAAAGTTTTCTACAGTGGAAATGGTTTACTAATCTGGTTTTATCGACAGGCACGTGTCTGTGGTGCTTTTTTTAATAAATTACAGTAAATCAATAGCCGTTGGCTTCCTATGTAAAATCAGGAAACTAGAAAGTATGCCTCGTCTAACATTTATATTACGAATTCTTGAAAACAACTCAGTATCATGAGGACATTGTGATGGAATACCTCCAATAACATCCAAATCAGGAATCGTTGATTAATTTTAACATCGTTACTGATGCATTGATGCCAGTAATAGATTTCGGAGACTCAAGGTCTGGAATTGTCTCTAGAAATCAAGAAAATACGATGATATCGTAGTAACGTAAAGAGAAATATAATTTTCAGAAAATTCTGAAGCTTGCGGAAGAAAACAATGAATCTCTTCCTAGAATGTCAAAAATTGATGCAGCATTGCACATTTAAAACAAGAATTTCCAGGGGGAAGAAAAACGTTGGAAAATTCACTGTTATTGTACAGAAATAAAAATAAGAATGCTTTCTACAGCTTTAAAACATGCTTGGTGGCACGTAGAAAAAAAACTAAGCCTCGATTGAAGCGTTCAAAGGGGCCGGTAAGTTCGACGATGTGATGCTGGAACATCGAACCTTATAAAAGGTTTTTTTTATATAAAAGCATAGCAACTTCTACATTTTCGTTATAAAATAATCGTATGAACACTAAATCTCTTTGAAATGGAAATTATCTTTAGCAAAATGCTCTTTCCAAGCAGGTCAGTGAAATGTAGTATGAAATTGGTTCGAAGCTTCGAAAATCTATAAGGAGACCGAAGAAGCGGGAAAATTCGACGATGTAGTGCTGGAATGTCCAGATGAACCACCAGATTCAATGGTTCGGTATCGTAGAAATTGTTAAAGATGTTCGTAAAACTTTTGCAGAAATAACTCCATCCGCGAAACGAATAAATGCAGATTGGAACAATTCCAACTAGATCTGCGGACTGTGTTTTTACTTAACGCTTTGTAGAAGTCGCAAAGGCTTGACGATGTTATGCTAGAATCGCCCTAATGTAAGGCGCTGAAGGAAAATTGCACGGAACGTATATTCTTTGAAAAATAAAAAGTCGTAGGTGCGAAGGTCTTAAGACGAGATTTAACATGCAGAAAAAGATTGGTAATGAAATTAAAAGAGTTTTAAGCTTCCTGCTAAGTTAGAAAGAAAACATTCCATTTGAAAAAATTGAACATCCAATGATGTTGCAGTCAAGACTTTATTAATCGAAATTTTAAAATTTATTAAGTATTAAGTAAAAAAAAAATTAGATAAGCATTCTGTGACTTTAAAATTTAGTTTAAAGAAAGTTTAAAGCGAAAAATAAAATTTAATCGCAAAAAATGCTAACCTACACAAAATTCAGACTTGAAAATATCACAAACTCACTTTCTTTGTCGATTATTTTTAGTCTCCGACTTTGTTAACGGCAAACGAGTCACTATTTTGAATACTTCCTGCGTTTCGATATTTCTGGGTTAATTTTTCATCTTTCGCCCAGACAAGTTCAGAAAAAAGAAACGCTAAAGCTTAAACGGTCACCCAAATCCGTATTTTGAAATCCAGACCTCATCTTGTACGCATTTTTCCTGGCGCCGTTAGTGGTCTTATACAGTTGCTGTTCTTTTGTTTTAGTTACATCACACGATAGGCAACCAACGATACAACTGTTACCAACACAGAGATATGAAAATTTTACATAGAGGATGTACTGAATTCGGTGATTCTTGCACAATACGATCCTCGTTTATAATTATTTAACGTAAAATATCAAAAATTCTGCAACGAAACGGCTTCGGACTTCGAGCGGCAGGCGGTTATTTGACATTATAGCAATTTCCAAGTTAAATAATTATTATAGGGTCTAGTTGTACAGAGCGGTTTGTTAAGAAGGCAGTTCGATAGGAAATTTTGGGGTCAAAATAGGGCGATAACACCTTAATCAATCTTTGGGGTTTCGAAATTTGAAAAAATGTTTGGAATTTTGGCGTTATCTCGAAATAACGAAAATTTGGTCAAGTTTAACGAAAAAAATGCAACATTAACTGCAATGCAAGTTGAAGTGGTTTTTGAAATATATTCGATTGTCCTCATTTGACAACAAGAATCTAAAACTGTACCCATTTATAAACAAACGCCCTATGTATGTTTGAAAAGTAGTTTAAATTTTTTTAACAATAATCAACTATCGAATATTGTTTTTATACAATTCCAGTAGTATATACATAAAAAAAAGAGTATCAGGCTTCCAAAATAAAATTAAACTTACATGGTACTAAATAAAAAATGGCAAAGACCCTATTGTGAGTCGCTGTTAAAACTGACGGCGAGCAATGCTGTAAAAAAAGAAAATAAACGATAGAAAAAAGGTTATAACTAGCGTAGCGGGCCCATATACGAAAATTTGGGGGAGTGTCAACTTATATTTTTTCCTGATTTTTTTTGTCCACTTCTAATGTGAGGAAAACAAAGAAAATTAATTTTGTCGCAACACAACCATTAATTTGTGAAACGGCAACGTCGTCAAATCATTATTGATTATTTTTCGACAAGCTCTCAAAATTTTCGTTAAAGTTATGTTTTACTCTCGCTTTTAATCTTTTACACGGTAACAGTAAATTACCACAAACTGACAAAATTTTAAAATCTACACATTCCTAAAAGCTAAAATGGCAAGAATTAAATACTTCTACGAATACACGAGTTAAAAATGTAGGAACATATTGATTTATATCGATAATAAAACGTAAAGGAATAAAATAAAAAGTCAATCCCGAGTGGTATCGCAGATTCCAGCAGACCACAATAGGTCTCGACAGCAAGCCGTCTATTATTGAAGAGGTAGTGAACATATTATTCACTGCCAGTGTTTTAAAATGCTTGAGGATTTATTTTTCGTGAACTTGCATCAAGCACAAGCGTTAATAAATAAGCGTAAATGCGAAGGACGTGCGAATTTACGTTCTTCTTGATAAAATTGTTATTAGCTCAGTATATGACGGTTTTTAGGTCTGAATTCTTGACACATGCACCGATTGACGTGAAATTTTAACAGTAACTAGAAAATTGCTCAAGAAACAAATGTTAATTAATTCTAAGCAAAAAATGCTCTACAACGTTTTTTCCAAAAATTAATATTTGCCGAGTTATTTGCGATTGAAAATATTGATTTTTCATCTAAAAAGTGCATGTTTTTCAACCATTTTTGATAAGTAACTCGAAAACCTTGCGTTTTATCGAAAAACCCATATCAAGCAAAAATAAAGCTTTTGAAATAACGAAACGATTCATTTTTTGTTGATTACCGTAGATGTAATAATAACGGAGTTATCACTCTCTAAAGGTGATTGTTTATTTGTCAGAAAGTAAAATCGAACTTTTTACAGTAAAATAACGGCGAAAGAACTAATTTTTTGAAGAAAATGAATATAACCTTTTTTAAAGTGCTTAGAAAAACCTTTAAAATGCTTTTTGAAAAAATTTCGTAGGTCAAAAACTCGCAGAGTTATGATGAAAATAAAATGGGCATCTCATTTTTTCGGAGAAAAAATCAACAATAAAATCTATGGCTGAACCAAAAAAATAGGATCTAAGAAATTTGTCCTAAGAATCTATGACCAAATTTTGTTGCATGAATTTCGGGACACCCTGTATACTATATACTATATAAAATTAAGGAAAGCAAAATCTTTAAAACTTTTTATAAAGAAAATTCAGAAAAATGTTTTCCTTTTGGCTTTTCAAAGAGATCAGAATGATTTTTCCGTGCGCGAATGTTGCCGTACATCCTCGCCTTTAAAACGCTATTCACTAAAATCAGTCATTGTTACGATCAGCTGCTAAGACCTTTATCTTCTCATTATGGGCCATATTTTATATTACATCTAAATTTTTTATGAAAACAGACAATCGTAATAAGACTTTAACCGTCGATTTTAGAGCAGATGATTGCAGGCACAATAAATTCGACACCACCGAAACTAATGGTTGTGGTATTTTAGAATATTTATAACATTTTCAAAAATTTATCATTACAACAGGAAAATTAGCGAAAATAAAAGAGAAACTCGAAAAAAGTCCTATCCGCGAGATTATTGTAAAATTGTCTAAAGGAACATAATACAAGACATCTCTCGTCTCGTGAGTCAAAAATTTTTATTGGCTAACTTTTCTATTTAAACAAATAAGTGAGGAAAACAGTTTTTTCACTTTGCAGGGAAAACCATCAATTTTAGCAAAAAGTGACTCGCAGACAGCTTGTAGGGGGTAAAATTATCTACAAAATGAGACTTGTTAAATTAAAATCGGTTAATAAACAAAAAAGTTATTAAGCTCATCCAAGCGAGCCGCACGTGCGAAAAAAGTGAAATCAAAGTTCAAATTGATGCGCGCTGGCATTGTAGAAACTTCTTTTTTTTTAAACTGGGGTAGCTCGACAAAAAAATAACATTGGGCATATACACGAATTTGTAGAATAGCCCTGAACCCCAGAAAAAATGCATCTTTCATACTTAATTTTTTTTAATTTACAAAAATGTCACAAAAATTATTGTGAAACGAAATATTAATTAAAATTTCAATTTCGGAATTATTTTACTATTATTAAATAAATAAATGAAGCTATCGTTCTTTTAAAAAGTTATTTTTTTGATATATTAAGCCAAAGTAAACTTACTTTTACAATATTTAGTTATTTAATTACGATTTAAATGTAAAATTAAAGTAAATATTCCCAAATTATTTTTAAATTATTATTTATTGTTAAGAGATTTAAAAAAATAAAAAGCATTTGAATTTATTGCAAATTCTCAAAATTAAAAAATATTAATAAACATAATGCGGTTGATAAAATTACAATTTTAACTTCTTGAAAGGCGGTGAATTTGATTCCATATCATTTTCTTCTTTTTATCATATGAATCTTTGCAACATAATCAAAATTAATTAAAAAAATATTTATCACAATCATTTTTAATAATAGATATAATGCAATATAGTACAATTTAAAATTTAAATTTTTTTCTATTTTTATGAGAAATAATAATTTGAAAATAATTTGTGAATTTTTACTTTAATTTTACACTTAAATCGTAATTAAATAGCTAAGAAAATATTGAAAAAATAAGTTTACTGTGATGAAGGATAGCTTCGTTTATTTATTTAATAATGGTAAAATAATTCCGAAATTGAATTTTAATTAATATTTCGTTTAACAATAATTTTTGACATTTTTGTAAATTAAAAAAATTCAGTATAAAAGATGCATTTTTTCTGGGGTTCAGGGCTATTCTACGAATTCGTGAATATGTCAATTGTTATTTTTTCATCGAGCTACCCCAGTATAAAAAAAAGAAGTTTCTACGATGAATAGAAGCCGAGATATTGCAAAATTTACAGTGCGCATCAATTCGAACTTTGGATTTCATTTTTCTTGCGCGCGCGACTACTCGCTCGGACGAGCTTCCCCCACCACCACGCCGCCGGCCACCGGACAGTTTACTTAGCAAGTACCTTCTTTTTAAAGAGCTAGGTTTTATAAAATTTTAACAATAAATGCGATAGCTATAAACAAATTTAAAAATGGGCACTTTTCTTGTTTTTTTGCAATAACTTTTTTGTTTATTAACCGATTTTGATTTAACAAGTCTCATTTTGTAGATAATTTTACTCCCTACAAGCTGTCTGCGAGTCACTTTTCGCTAAAATTGATGGTTTTCCCTGCAAAGTGAAAAACTGTTTTCCTCACTTATTTGTTTAAATAGAAAAGTTAGCTAATAAAAGTTTTTGACTCACGAGATGAGAGATGTCTTGTATTATGTTCCTTAAGACAATTTTACAATAATATCGCGAATAGGACTTTTTTCGAGTGAAAATCTTATTTTCTTGGCCTACATGGCGATCTACAAAAGATCACTTAACGTGGATATTTCAAGTTTCAAACGATCGTAAGGGGGCCTGTTACGTTATCTGAACTACTCCTAAACGTTACTTTATAGACGGTTATTTTTTTAATCGTTTCCTCAAATTACGCCTAAAAAATACCAATAGCTGTCATTTACATATTCGAACTGAAAAAAAGACTCCCTTTCTCGAATCCACACCCCTGCCACGCGATACAATCGGTCGCCTACGGTGTCATGCGTCAAACCCCCCGACGTACTCCTAATCAGTCTCCTTGACCTCCTCAGGCTTCTCCTCCGTCTCGACGCACACCTTCTTGCTGTTCAACGGGCATTCCGTCTCGTGCGACGCTATCCTCTTCACCCCCGCCCTAAACGGGCACCGCTCCGTCACGAACTGACACGGCAGCACGATATTCTCCACCACCTCTTCGAGGATGTAGTTCCTGGTGCCGGTGTAGGCGCCCTCGCACGACGGGCACTTCTCCACCTTATCCTTGCAGGCGTTGCAGACGACGTGTCCGGCGACGCACTGGTGGATCGGCGGCAGCATGTAGTCCTTGCAGATGGGGCACTCGTACATCTGACGGAAGATCTTGTCCTTCTTCCTGGCCAGCTCCTTCTGGAACACCTTCTTGCCGTCTATGATGTTCACGACGTAACTCAACGACTTGTGGCCGAACGTTCTCATTACCGACTCGCGGTTGAACTTCGTGGTGAAGCGTTTGAACAGCGCGTACCTCGACAGCCTGTGCTTGTGCCTTTCGTCCTTACACGCGCCCGAGATGCACTTGAAGCAGTGCTCCTCGTCGTTGAAGGGGATTATTTTCTGGTCGGTCGCTACGATGGCGAGTTTGCCGTCCTGGGACGTTAGTTTCGCCTCGTACCGGGAATCGTCCGACCCGGACACACAACACACGCTCAGACCGAAGTTGGTGACGTTGTAGTCGAATAAAACGACGTAAGTCTTCGTCCCCTTCACCAGAACGTCGATGTTGAAGTACGAGTAGATGTTCTTCAACGTTATGCTGTTCCAGTGGTAGTGATCGATGTGTTTCTCCTTGAAATGCGACGAGATGGTCGTCAGATCGAACTTGTCGAAGCAGTTCGTCAACGGACAAGTGATCTCCTTGCTCTCCCCTTCGGAGTCCTTCGCGGGCTGGGACGGCAGCTTCAAATTGTTCGCGACGTCTTCTAAGATGTAGTTCCTCGTGGCATCGATCGTCTCCTGGCAAGTCGGGCATTTCTCCGCAGTCGTTTTGCACTTGTTGCATATTATGTGACCCGTGACGCACTGATAGATGGGCGGCTGCATGTACTCTTTGCAGTGGGGGCACTGTAACAACCGGCGGACGATCTCCTCCTCCTTCGACACCTCGAACTCTTCCTCTTCATCGTCGTTCACTTCGTCGACGACCATATCCTTGACTAGATCGTCCAGGTCTTCGTCCGCCTCGGTTTTCTCCTCGACGATGTTCAGGTTGTAGTTCAAAGGGCGGTTCCGGAAGGTCCTCGTGACGGAATCCTTGTACAGCTTCGTGCTCATCCGTTTTAAGATCCCGTTCTTGTAGTACCGGAACAGGTGGAACTCGCTCTTGCAGCCCCCCGCGACGCACTTGAAGCAGTGCGTTTTCTCGTCGAACAGTACGATTTGTTGTTCCGAGACTACTATGGACTGTCGGGTGGAGTCGGAATCTAAGACCAGCTCGTACTGGTGGCTGTCGGGCTCTAACGAGCAAACGCTGACCCCGTAAAACACGTCGTTGTAGTCGAATATGACGATGTAGGCCCGACCGTCCTTCTCTAACAAGTCCAAGCTGTAATAGTTGTGCACGTTACTTACGGTGAGCTTGTCCTCGTGGTACGAGTCTCTGTGCTTCTCCTTGAAGTGGGGCACGAAGTCGTCCATGCCGATGCTGGCGTCGCAGTTTAATTTGGGGCAGATCACCCTGCGGTGCTCGCACTTTTTCTCGTGCTCCCTAACCGTGGACCATTTCAGTTTCTCGTCGCAGCCTTCGTACATACACGGGAATATCATGTGTTTGGCTAGCTTTTCGTACATGTAACACCTAGTCTCGACGTACGTTTTGATGCCGTGGCATCTACCGCACTTATACTTAGTTGCGTCCTCTGAAATTATCGATACGGGCGGCACAGACAGGATTTGTTCGCACAGAGAGCATTTCAGATCTTTTAGTATGTCTTCGGTCAGTTCAAAGTTATTCTCCATCGTAACTGCAATTAAAAAATTGTTCAAAGTTAACTATAATTTAACTAACAAGCAATGGTGCATAGCTCCGAGTCACTGATAAATTTTATCGTAATTATCAAGTACTAGTGTTGACTCAAAGTACTTACCCAAGTTTTCTTTATTTATTCTCGATATCGATTACGTGTTATCTAAATTCTAGGCGCCGAAGCAGTATATTAATTTTCTGAGGTTATGTCTCAAGACGCAAGTGGTTGGCGAGTCTCGTAAAAAATAAACACTACATTTTCAGTTCCTCTTGCAAATAAATCAATATAAACATGCAGAGAACCTCTCAATCCCGTAATTTCTGCTGAAAAACGGTATTTTTCTCTCTATTAGACCCCGAAAAAGTAAAAACAAAAACGTCACGTCAATACGGCGTCATTCGCAAATGTCAAATGCCTGTCAATTGTCAAATAGTCAAATCAAATGTCGTTAAGCTAAGTTCGCAGATGTTACAGTTCATGGCTTTCATCCACGAAATCATGGAGACTATACAAGGAGCCCGAACTCCATGTAAACAAAAATCTTACAAAAATAAGAGGGCGCTAGTGTCCCATATGTATCGTTAAATTATTTTCGAAACTTTTTATTTACCATTATAAAAACAAATTGTAATAATTATTGATTTGATTTCTAGTTTTTAGGTTAGCATACCTCCCCGATATATCTACTAAACTCGTTATAAAATAAAATTGGTTATTTGCTTACTTCACTCGTATTTATTATGCTACATTCACTTGGGTCATATGGAACATGAGCGCCACCCCAACTTCTGCCATTTCTTGGACAAATTTTGTCAATTTTCCCGTATGAGTTCGTGCTCCTTGTCTAGTCTCCCTGCACGAAATATAAAACAAATTCGTACATTACCATTGGTCTAGAATTAAACATAAAGCAAGGAGACACCATTTGATTGGTTGACGGAGTAACAAATGAACGCGTCTCTGTAAAGTAAGCATTACACATCCAAGGTATATACACAAATAGAGGTCTACCCATCACAAAAAATTAGATTTTTACCTGCCGTAGGACTTTTTTAAATTCGCGAAAAAAAGCCAGCTTTCAAACGCCATCCCGATTAAAGTTCAGCGATAAGAGATCTACATTTTTCGACCCGAAAAAAGAAGTCAAAGTCGGTATATTTACAATTATTTTGCAATACTCGCAAAATTTGCACAGGAAAGTACATCTCTCAGAGAAAATTTTAAGCAGAAGATAACTCACGCAAGGACATTACTGTATGATTTATTGAAACTTGAAAAAAATTTATTTCAAAAAACTCAATTTTTTGCAAAAACTATCAAATATTTTGCAATTTTACAAAAATGCACTTATTCTACTCGACAAGGACTACATATTCTGAGTTCCATAGACATTTTTTTTGTTTTAAAAATATGTTTTTAAAAAATACGATTTTTAGCCGTTTTTTTGCAATAACTAAATTTATCAATTGACATCGGATTGAGCTAAAAATTTTTGTTAAAAAAAGTTCTACAACTTTCATCTAAAATATTATTCTCTAAAATGATTGTTTTTTTTTTAATGAAAGAAAACTGTTTTTGAGAACATTGGACGCCATTTTGAAAATGAAGGCCTAACATTCAGCTGGGGTAAAGTAATTTATTCAATTCTACAGAATTTTTCCTAATTTTCACGTAATTTGGCAAAAAACGAGGTATTTTCGAAAATTTGACTGGTTTAGACCAATCAAAGCGTTGATGCTAATACGAGTATGTTATCACTGCAATCAGCTAAAAATTTTCACTTATAACGTCACAACGTCATTTTGTAATGTAGTTAGACAGCTAAAGAACTCCCCTTTCAAATAATAACCTTGGCAGTTTATGGTGTGGTCGGTGCTAATAGGAAACAAATTTTTAGCAACAAACATAACCTGCGTAATCTAACGTACCTAACCTTAAAAATGCGGCGTTGAACATAGGAAATACAAAAATTATATTTTATATCCATTATAAAATGTTTTTTAGAAAAATATGTTGTGATTTTACGCAGAACAACGTAATTAAAACGAGAAATATACGTTTTTATAGGAACTTGGCTAGCAATCTTAAAGATAACGTGAACAGAGATGTAATACTACAGGCCTTTGAAAGCGTCCAAATAAACTCTGTTAAGGACTGGACGAACGTAAGAAAAGCCATCTTAGAACACGAACTTAACCGGGGACAATACAGCAACAACACTATCGACGCTATGATACTGGGACACTGCGTAAAAACGAGACAGTTCGATTTGGGCGCTTCCTACATTACGTTCCTCAACCAGGAGAAAATCAAGCCTAACCTGGCGACCGTAGGCAAATATTTAAGGTTAATCTATCTCAAAAATCAAGACAGTTGCCTCGAAAGCGGTAAACCGTGTAAGGTAAGTGAAGAAAAACTAATCTTTAAGCACTACGAAGACCTGCGGAAGGACTATCCCGTACTAGACTCTATTTCCCTCGAAAATATTACTTGTGCTTTGTCTCTCACCACGAGGTGGAGACAGTGTTTGGATTTATTGAAGGAGATTAAAGTCAGTGTCGTTCCCTCTTCTACCGCTTACAGCACCGTCATAGCGTCATGTTTTTCACGCAACGAAGAAAGTTTGGGCTGGGAACTCCTACGAGAGATGTTGGAATACGAGCGGGTACCTCAAAGTGTCGCATACCTGGCTTATATTAAATCCGTTGCGAAGATAAGGAAAAAGACGGAAGCCCTCGAGAAACTAGAACAACTATTCCTATTCCTCCAAGAAAACAATCTAAAATGCGACGAGGATGTCGGCGCTTACATCTGCCAAACGGCAAGGAAGCTGGGTTACAGAAGCGACTTTACTATTGTGAGTTTTACGAGCACCGATATATTTTTCTACTCTCAAAATTTCTAGGTTACGCACAGAGGCCTCTGTAGGAGCTGTTCCCGAACATTAAACAACTTCGACTTAACCGACGAAGACTTTAACGAGCTCAGAACTAAAGTGTTCGAAAAGGTGATCGTAGGCCGTGACGTTTTCGTAAAAACTAGCCCCGAGGAACTCGAGAGGTTCAAGAATTTCGCCGCGAGTATGGGACAATTTGACGTCGTCCTAGACGGGCTAAACATTGCTTATTCCGCTGGGACGAAGCAGCAGCCCTTCGTATACTCGTCTTTAGTAAATATAATCCATAAGTCACTTCTCACTTTACCTTTCAGCCTTTTAGGTGGCTTTGGTGGTCTCCCACTTTGTCCAGAAAAGAAAGAAGGTGCTAGTCCTCGGCAGAGCCCACATGAACCGGTGGCCTAAGAAGAACTGGGGTTACGTAACGCAGAACGCGAGCGTCTTCCTCGCACAGGACATTTCCCAAGACGACCCTTACCTACTTTACTGTGCTCTCAACTCGGGCAAGGACACGGTTATCGTGACGCGGGACTTGATGCGCAGTCACAAGTTCCTCCTAAGGGACCCCAGGCTCAAGATGTTGTTCGACAGGTGGCTGTCGCAGAGGCAGTGGCACTTGCTCAGGGTCGATGAAAGGAAAGGGCCCATTTTCAGGTAAAAAAGAGCTCTTAATCTATAATTAATGTTTGTGACTGTTGATGTTTGAAAAATTGTGCTTAGGGATAGAAATTTAAAAAATTTTGTTTAGAAATAAAAATTTGACAGCACATGTTGAGGTTAGAACCATAGAACACATAAGAAGAGGTTAGAATCAGTTCCATTTTAATTATTCTGTCTCCCCTTAAGTGATACGAGTGTGGTCCACTTATGTGAAAGGTGATGTTTTGAATTTGAAAAATCAATTCGGTTCAAGTGGAACAATATAAACATACTGAAAGGCTGTAGCTTTGAAATTTTTTGAAGAAAAATTAAAATGTTTACCAAAATTAAAAAAAAAATGTTGGCAATGTCAAATAAAAAAATATCTAGTAAGGAATCATGTGAATATGTGTGCTTACGCGCATATGGTGACGTCATTTGAGAGTAAAACTAACGAAATCATGGCATATATTGGCTCGAACAGGTTCATACCATATCTAAATGTGTAAATTTCACGTTTTACGTACAACCAACTTAAATTCTCCATTTATATATAATGTATAGCTACTGTGGTGTGAATATAGTAAAAATGTTGACGTTTAATGGGTCTCAGATTACGTCATGCACAAACAGGACGAAATTATGTTCAAACTTAGGCTTGCACACAAACTTTTTCATTAAAATTTGTCGAATTTAGATAATTTCTTATTTTTTCATTCATACATTGATAAATTGACAGGTTCTATTCCAAGATCAGCGTAATTGAGGTTGTGATAATTTTTTTTTTCCACCACTTCTGATCGTTAGTTCCCTTGTGCTAGGGTTATAGCGATAGTAAAGGCTTTCCATTTAAGTAATCCGTCTACTCTTAAGTGATCAAAGAGATCATTTGAATTGAAACTCTTACTGGTTTATAACCTAGAATTTTTAAATGAATATTGTTCCCTATTCTTTTTTTTTTTGTAAATAATTGTTTTTAGGATACCACCACCTTTCAGTATCGTGGCCCAGTGCAACGATGGAACTTGGCACATACCGTACGAGACTGATGCACCCAAAGACAAGAACGAATTCCATTCGACGTGGCTGTGCCTCAAGAAATAATTTGTAGATTGTACATATTGTAATTTTTAATTTAATGTTTCGATATAAACATTTGAGAATTTTTTGAAAATTATTTTATGGTTATTAGTCAAAAAATGTGTCAGGTAAGGGGAGTGTGGCACTTTTTGACCAAGCCTTGATAACTTTATCAAAAATTCTTGGTTTTGGAATCAAGTAACTACAAATCTGAGGAAAAATTTTCAAAAATCGCTATAGAAAAAATTTATTTTTAAATTAAAAAATAATTGAACTCATTTTTTGTCTCTTTTTCCACCAATTGCTGCTTGACTTCAACTACAAATATTACCATTTTGGTTCATCCCTTACATCAGGGTTCATAGTTCAAAAGTAAGAATGAATTCCCTGACTTTTCCAGGTTTTCTCCGACTTTCAAAATAAAATCCAGGTCACTTGTAGTTCATTTTTACATACTAATTGGTGTTTATGCATTAAATTTTTTCTCAACTGGAGCCCATAATCTTTTTATACCATAAGAACCTCTTATAAAGGTTTCAAAACCACAAATAGTTTTCTCTTTCAAGAACCCAGGACCGGCTTTCACAAAATTTCCAGTTGCAAACATCAAATTCCCTGACTTTCATGAATATTTTTAAAATTCCCTGACTATTCCCTGTTTTTTATGAAGAATAACGAATTCCCTGACTTTTCCCGGTTTTCCCGGCCGCTACGAACCCTGTACATTGGACGATTTTAATCAGAAACGATCGTTCACACCTAATTTAAAAGTTGAAAATAGAATCACAAAATTGACTAATTAAAAAAAAAGTTAGAGAATGTATTTGAAATACAAGAATAAATGCGTTTTCTTTATTCTTCAAGGCTGTTGCTGTTAATTTACTAAAAGTTTTCAGAAGATAGGTGGAAATATTAAAGTTCAAAACTAGTAAGGGTATATGTCTGGTGGTTCCGCAGACGATTGGTCTTGGCTACTAGGGAGTGTAATTCAATGCTGTCTATGCCTTTAGTTCGCAGAGTAGTTTCCAATATCATTCGCCAGGACTGTTAAATAGTTGTAATCATGATAGGCGTTTGTTTTCGGTGGTCCAAGCACTCTTGATGAAAAACTAAATTTTGTATTTTGAAATGGCAAAGCTATATAAACAGTTTAAATGTGAATATTCTTATACAAAACCGTTTTAAACAATTTTAAATGATTATACCACATTTTTAATAAAAAAAAAAATTGCTATGAAGCGTAAAAGCCGTTTCGGTAAAAGTAAACGATTACGACGCTAGAGAAAGAAAATTAACTTGGGAACGAATAACTTATTTATTCAAATATTGTACACTTAGAAAATAAATTTATTTACTCGTTATCCTCCTCGTCGTCGTCCTCCTGGCTGTTGATCTGGAAGTACCTAAGCTCGTACGAGTCTTTGCCTGCGGCGACCACCCGTAACCAATCCCGAAGGTTGTTCTTCTTCAGGTACTTCTTCGTAAGGTACTTCAGATATCTGAAATGATCATTTTACGTCTTAAATTCCCCGATATTTCCAAGATTCATGCGTGATTTAAAAAGTTTCCCATTTCTCGATCGCTATTTGCAAATTTTTTTTTCGTCGACATCTCGTATGAATATTTAATAAAGTATGATTATTTGAAAAAATCATGCAGCGGCAGCCATAAAATTTGCACCAAATAGAGATTTTTGTTCACGATTTTAATGTAATCTTTTTCTTATAATTTTTGCTTGCCCGAATACCAAATAAGCGGAGTCGAGATATATTGGCTGTCTCAAAAATCACACAAGCCATTCGTGGGGTACAGTGTTGCCAACGAGAAAAAAAACAGCAAAAATTTTGACAGCCGACAGTTTTGACAGTTAAATTTTCATCGGTAATGTCAATGCTCGGGTAACAAAAAATGTGGTTTATTGGTTAATTAATCTGAAGAGTTTCTGGCGTTGAGGCAATAATTAGATTCGTTTTCAAACAATTCTTCGCAAAAACGAGTAATCAGAAAAAAAACTCTAAAAAAGGCGAAAATCCAATATGGCACCTACAATAGGAACAAAGGTCTTGATATCTACGTTTAATAATGTTCATTTCTCTCCGTTCTCAATTTAAAAAAAAATAAAATGCCATTAATTTGTTTTTTCCGACTTTAAAACAAAAAAGAGATAAAAAAGTTCTTTTTGGCAACTTATCTGTCATCAAATTCCTAAACTTTACAACAATTTGAACGACTTTGTATCTCTTACGATAACCGAACTCAATGCTGCGGCTCACAGAATATGGACACCCTGTATAGGGTGTTAGATTTAAACCGATGGAAGTTTGAGTTTAAAACTGAAATATTAGTAGTTAGGAAATATCGGACAAAAATAAAATCAAGATGTGGATTTTCCCATTCAATTTTACTGGGACATTACGACAAAATAACAAAACTCGATTCAAATGTAGTCATCAAATTTAGATTTTTACGTGTCAAAATTTAGTTCAGTAAACAAAGACAGGCAAAAATTAGGAAAAATTCCGTAGAATTGAATGAACCCAGCTGAATGTTAAGGCTTCCTTTTCAAAATGGCGCCCAAAGTTTGCAAGTTTTTTATTTAAAAAAACTAAACATTTTAGAAAAGAATGTTTTAGATAAAAGTTGTAAAACTTTTTATAACAAAAATTTTTAACCCAGGCCGATGTCAATTGATAAACAAAAGTATTAGTTTCTGCAAAAAAAAAACGGCTAAAAATTACATTTTTTTAAAACTTCTATATCTTTAAAACAAAGGATTTTTTTACGAAACTTTCGGAATATGTAGTTCTTACACATTTTTGTAAAATTGTAAAATATTTTATAGTTTTCGCAAAAATTGAGTTTTTCAGAAGCAATACATTTTTCTCAAGTTCCAATAAATCATACAGTATTGCACTTACGTGACCCACTTTGGGCTTAAAATTTTCTTTGAATGTTGTACTTTCCTGGGAAAATTGTGCCCGTATTGCAAAATAATCGGGAATGTGCGAAAAATCTACCGAAACTTATTGGGTCGAAAAATGTAGTTCTTTTTCTTATCGTTAAAATTTAATCGAAATGGCATTATTGCCGTTTGAAAGCACATTTTTTCACAAATTTAAAAAAAATGTCACAACCAACAGGAGCCGAGAATTTCTTTTTATACAGTAAAGTTAATTGTGTTGGGCCCCGTAAAATTCCCATTCGACACGTTGATGCGCATGGTGTAGGGAGAAAAACTGACGCAACTGTTGTATTTGTCAATCTTACAATACGTAATGAACTCAGCCGAGTCAGTTTTTCTCCCCCCACCACGCGCATCGACGTGTCGATCGGAGCAAACATTTTACGGGGCCCAACAAAATTAAGTTTTCTGTAAAAAAAAAGGTGGCCAATCATCGCGTACTATTTTTTATATTGAAGTAAAAGTATTTACTACAACATGTGTAAATTTCGGACCGTAATATTCACAAATGAGGTCGTAGCGATTTAAATAAAAAATTCTTGGCTCCTGTTGGTCGTAGGGCATTTCCTTTTAAATTCGTGAAAAAATGTCAGCTTTCAAATGCAATTCCGATTAAATTTCAACGATAAGTAAAATATCTACATTTTTCGACCCGAAAAAAGAAGTCAAAGTTTCGGTAGATTGTTCGCATATTTTCAATTATTTTGCAATACATGCACAATTTACACAGAAAAGTACAACTCTTAGAGAAAATTTTAAGACCAAGATGGGTATAAAAGCGATTTAAAAAATTTGCTTTTCCATTGTCGCTGCGCATTGTATTGCACCAAACATCGAAGGGTCTAGCGAACATAGCGAGCACAGCGTTTCATCTCCACAGTTCAAAACGCCACTTTGACCAAAATTTTTACCGTCAAGTGGAGCTGGGACTGTGGTACAAGAATACAGAAAATACGAGCCCCTATTACAAAAATTTAAAATCTAAAAACAGGATTTAATAGCAACACGTAGTACGTACCTTTTCGAGAAGGGGATTTCCGAATTAAGCACCAACTTGGTACCCTTTTCCCTCCCCAGGGTGACGGCGTGCTGAGAACCCTTCCCACCGGCAAAATTGCCGGTTTTCCCGTTAATCTTTATCCTAGTCTTCAAGTACTGCTCCTAAAAACGAAACCCCAGACTAATACATACACTTTTAACACGGGGAAATAAGAAATAAGGCAATGTAATCGCCAAAACCGAGTTTTTCATAAACAATTATCCGTTATTTAAAAATGTCGCTGCACAGTGTATTATACCAAACATCGAACGGTCTAGCAAACATAGCGAGTGCAGCTTTTCGTCTCCACAGTTCTAAACGCCACTATAACTAACACTGTGACCGTTACGTGGAGCTGGGACTGTGGATTCTACACTAACACTTATCGATATAAAGAGAGGGATGTACTTACGAAGTTCCCGACGTCCAGGATGCCGTCTTCCACAGGATGGGTGCAGTCTATGAGGAACTTCAACGCCACCTTCTTCTTCTTCAGTCCCTTGCCCCTGATCTGGGGTTTCTTGGCCTGGGGCTTCGCGGCTGGCGCGGCGGCTTTAGTCTGGAATCCACAACATGATTAGTTGTGTTTCGACCAGACTCTGTGACGGATTTGGCGAAACACGTCTGCAGCAAAAGTGTGGTTAACTTCTGCTGTGAACTATCAAGTTAATTCAATAGGGCTGACGTACAAGTTTGCGTAAAGTGGCAATGATATAATCGAGTAAAAAAACATATCCAAGCTTTGTAAATTATAAAAATAACCAACAAGAATGAAAGTGACAATTTAGGTTAGGAATGGACATCTGCAAATATTTTAACCATCCTTTAGTTTTTTTCGAAACAAATGCAGAACGTTAATTGTAAACAAGTTATCTGTACCGTGATTTGATTATTGTCTTTAAAGAATACAACAAATAAGTGGATATTTAAAATAAAATACTCACAACGACCATTTTGATGCGTACCGAAACAACGCTGTCAACGAAAAGAGAAAGAGAAACGGCAGATGACAATTGACAATTGACAGATAGAACATGGAGTATGGAAAAACCACACACCTTGTGTTTGTTGGTTTGTTCGAGTTTGTTGATTATGATACATTTTGCTCTCAGAGTAACGTACCCGTTTTAACTATTTTTTAACTTTAACTTTATACAGGGTGTCTCATAAGTAACTTACGTACTTAGAGCAATAGAGGATTTAACACACTAAAATGTTACTTAACCAAATTTACCTTAGTTCAAGAGTTGATACTTAGAAAGGTACAGGGTGTCAAAGTAAAACATTTGTTTCCATTATTTTTAAATAATCATTACAAAATTACAGATATTGCACAAATTTTGAGGTGACGAATTCCAATCCGATTGTAATTCTGGTGTTACTTATCAGAGGGCGCCACTTGCGGCGTTTATCAAATAAAATACAGTTTTCGTAACAGTTTAATAATATGCAATAAAACATTGAAAATATGTTAATTTAAACATTAAGAACACGTTCATTTAAATATTGAGAAATGTTTCAATAAGCGTTTAGAAAATATTTGTATTAATCAAATCTGAACAAGCTGTTAATGTTCTCAGAATATCGATTCTGTAGCCTTGACAATGTTCTAAAAACTTTTAAAAAATGTTTCAAAATGTTTTGAAATTGTTAATAATAATATTTTACTACTAAGATTTTAAAAATATTAAGTTGCATGCCGTATGGGTTCTTCGACTGCCACCATATCTGAATCCCATTGAATTAATATTCAGAAACATAAAAGTACTTTTCCAAGAGGTAATTAGTCTGGTAACCGTAGAGATATGAAATAAATGCATACCATAATAAAAAGAAGAATAGATCCGTGTATATAAAAAAAAAATTGCAAACAAGCTTAGTGACGTCATTTTATTTTCGTGTTCTTCTCGGCATACTCTCATTTGATACCTCACGGGGGTGCATAAAAAATAACTGGTCCACCATCTTTAGGAGTCCGCCATATTGGATTTAGAATGACGTCACTTAGATAACCATGCACTGTCATCCAAACTAAACGTGTAAACAAAATTTCAGCTCCATCGGTTGGGGATAACTGTTTTAAAATTTAGTTGCAAGATTTGACCCATATTAACAACGCAAGTTAAATCAAATCTTGTAAAAATGGGTATGTGGGTGGTAGTGGTAGTAGACCATCTTTGTCACAAGGGAAGATTAAAAGACCAGTGACATTTGGCTAAAAAAAGGAAAACTATTGATTTGATAGTACACTACGGATGGAATGTAGAAAGAGAGAGGGGTAAAGATCCAAGATGTAAATAAGTGAGATGAAGATTTACTGATTTTTGGTAGTAACACAACAATTAAAAAAATTATTGTCAAATCTATATGTAAAATACGCATAATACCACGTAATGGATAAACGAATAGCGCCTGTTAAGCCTACAAATGCCCCAAGTCACATGACGGGAGACTAGTTTCGTCTCACTTTAATCTTGGCCCCTTTACCTCTCTCTCTACATTCAAAATCTATAGTACACTGTCAAATCTATGGGAAAAACAATGTTTATAACTTCAAACTGTCATCATTTTTTGTGTAATATGTACATTAATTATATTTTGTGAATACAAAATCCTATTCGACGTATCCTAAATTATTTACGATTATTATTGTATGTTAGACATTGAAAGTGTGTATAGTATAGTCGTAAAATTAGTATAATTATTGAAATGGATCCGTACATATTGCCAAAATTTGCTTTATTTAGCACAATTAATAAACAGTTTACAAACTTTGACAACTCGCATAAATATGACACTCTATATATATTTTTTATATTCAAGTTAATTAATGATTTTATACAAAAATGAAACAAAACAGTGCAATTTCTGATCGCACTTTGTCATCTTCTGTTAATATCTAAAATGGTGGCAAACATCTCATTTTAGGACTCTAATAAGTCCACAATTATATAAAACTCTCACATTTGCCAAACTTTCCACCGGCCACCCTATACGCGACAACGCGTAACCTCTTTTGGTCCGCCCTATAGACACAAGACCCCACCATCGATTTTCTGCTAGCGCCGCCACCGGCGCCCACACCAACTAACCCGTCGACATTTATTGGGAGAGCCGAAAAACCTGCCGTCCGCTGAAGACTCATCTCATCGCCGCGACATGAAAAGTCGGTCTTTCAAATAGAAAAAACAGTGTCCCAGTGCGTTATTCTAACTAAAAACTCACACAGACATGACAGTGGTAACGGTGTTCAGTGCGCTGCTCCTTCTCGGATGCACGGCAGCCTCGGATCCCTTCGAATTCTCAGGTAAGTCCAGATCTAGCCTCACCTGCAAGGTGATTTCCATCTCAGGCGTCAGTTTTCTCTTATCTCGCCCCTGCCGTAAACAAAAGGGAGGTCACCGCTTGTGCCCTCCTCGACTGCCGGCCACGCAGCCCAAAACAACGAAAATCGGAGACAGGTGTACCGCACGGTGACCACAAAATGGCGAGTCGATACTCTCGAAGTCCAAGGGCTTCTTGGTCCCATCGCTGCAGCTTTCTCCGTCTCCGATTAAGAAGGCCGGCCCGATAATCGATTGTTTTCAAGCGCCCCGTTATTGATTCCGTTTTCGCCGTTGTTTATAATAACATTGTTTGCAGTCTGGAGTGTGATAAGGCCCAACAATGCGGCTTTTATCGTTGCCAGTGCCGCATTGGATCCGGTCGCAAACGTCCCCGTTTTGCATTATATTTACCGTGTCGCCTGTGCACGGGAAGCGGAATTTAATCCGCTGACGTTTGACGTTTAGGTAAAATTCAATTGTTTGTATCGACGTGCCAGCGGCCGTCTTGATATTGTTCCGCGAGGGGTATTGTTCGTGCTGAATGGGCGACTTGATGTTTTGTTGGCGAAACCAATGCGAATGTCTGTTACAGAAACGTATTTTTTTATTTCGCCCGAGCTTATCGGGCTTTTGTGCGGACGGCCGCCAGTCCCTGCTTAATTAAACTAGGAAAAAACGCCGTATGCGGATGGGTACGTAGATATCGATTTTATGGAATTCACGGAATGTAACACAATGGGGTTACACTACGACGTAATCGATTTTTGACATCTGTGGGGTCTAAGGGATGCCTTCAAAGTATGCCTTGGCTGTAAAACAAATGAAGTTGCAGCTAAATTCAATTAAAACCGGTTTAAAACATGAAAATTAAAAAGTATTTACTTAATTTTTAGATGAATAAATTTTGTTAATTACTTAATTATAGTTTTCTGCACTGTCTGAACACTTCGTTTTTTTTTTTCATGAAATGACTGAAAGGGGTAATTTTTACTATTTTAATAAACTATATTGTCAAATTACCGCAGTTCATAAAAGCTATAAGATTCAAGTGTGAGGTAATTTCTTATATTTAAGGAATTACTAAAGAGTTTATGACGATTTTTTTTCCAAAGAATGCTTCAAAATAAACATTTATCTTTTGACAAAATCACGTCTTCTATTTTTGACATCAAACAATTGACGAAACGAATAAATCATCAGTAACATCCATTTTGATTGCCTATAAAATACGCAATCATCAATTGTTTTAACTTCAATTATTCATGGCTACCTTGACCAGGTTTATAAAACTGCGTTTTAAATATTTCCCACCGAAATATACAGTATAGGCGTATGATATATATATTTTAAAGATGATTAAAATTTAACTATTAAATTCTAATATTTTTTTGCAAAAACTGATCAAATGCACATTATATTTTTTTCTTATTTAGTTTCTTAATATTATCTGGAAATGATGCTTACCACAAATGAAACATCCTGTGTACCTGGTAAAATGCGATAACATTCCACTTAACCTCGTTTTTGACACATCTATTATCTAAATTAAATAAGGAAACTCGCTTAATCGCTATTTTTAGCCTTATCGCGGTATTTTTTTTATACAGGGTGTTTCTGGGAAATGTGCAAAGTTATGAAGAATTTAGCATTTATTACGAAAAGTGTAAATTTCGTCAAAATAGTTATTTTTTATTCTAGATTGGGGAAAAACCCATTCGATAATGAAAAAAGAACAAATACTTAAAAGTCAGTTATCTCAAATTTTCCTAATTTCCGGAAAAACTTCGATATCTTAATCTCTACAGGGTGTTTTTAAATGAAGTAGCAAATATGGTACCAGTGAATGTAGAGCCAAAAATAAAAGGATTGAAGTAAAAATACCTTACATGAAAGTTGCACCCTTGTGACGATATACCCTCTTAAAGGAGGGGATTGAAATTTACATTTTAATTTTTTTCTTTAACATGGGGAATGCTAGAGACTCGAAACTTGGTATGAGCATCCTACTAATAAAGAGACAACTTTTCAATATTTGTTCGATCATCGGCGTATTTTATAAAGGAGCGAAACAGTCGACTCTATTGCAATATTTTACTTGAAATTTTTTATATGATGCAAATTATTTATTTAAAAATATTTATTGGGAAGACTGGTTTATTGCGCAACTTTTTTACCTCTTGTAATTTTTCGATAAAACCGATAGTTTTCTAGTAAAAAAATCAGATGCGTCATCGTTCACTAAAGGGGTAATCGCAAAAATTTGTAAAAATTAAGTAGGCGGATGTCATAACAAATAAATTGTTATTTATCATATTAATAAATTGACACTTTCTGTCAACCAATAATAATTAGTACCAATGACGAATATGTCGACATGCTCCAAGTATTTCTCGAATCCAGAAAAAATAGCTGCAGTAAGATTATACCACCACAGATACCCAAACCGACCGATACCTCATAGACAAACATTGGCCTCAGTCGAGGCCTCAGTGGAAAGAAGGCTCGCGAAACTGGTAAAATTCATCCCAATCGTGAGGGTGCGGGAAGAAGTCCGAACTATTGAAACTGAGGAAGCTATACTGGAACATCTAGAACAAGACTGTGGTACAAGTACAAGAAGGTGTCCAGGCAACTGCAAGTTTCTCACAGTCTTGTGTGGAATGTAGCTCATGAAAACCTTTTTTACCCTTTTCAACATCAACCCGTGCAAGAATTGAATGACCCTGATTTACTTAACCGCGTGGATTTTTATCAATGGTACATTAATATTTTTAGGTATGACTTAAATTTCCTAATGAATATAGTTTTCACCGATGAAGTAAATTTTCCTAGAGTAGGTGCGGTAAACCTTCATAATGTTCATTCATGGTCGGAAGAAATACTCATGAAATATTTGTCTCAATATGTCAACATAGTTTCAGTTTAAACGTTTGGATAGGAATTGTAGGAAATACTCTAGTGGGTCTTTTTATTCTTGCACACAGGCTTGGAGCGGCCGAATATCTGAACGAAAATCTTCCAACATTACTTGAGGATGTACCCCTCGCTACACGTCAGGTGGTGTGGTATCTGCACGATGGGGCGCCTGCACATAGTATATTTGCCGTTAGAGAATGGTTAAATTTAAATTACCCAAATCGCTGGATTGGTCGTGGTCGTGAATGCCCCTGTTTGTTGGCCTGCACGTTTACCTGACCTAACCCCTATGGATTTCTTTTTGTGGTGACACATAAAAAGTATTGTTTATACTACTCCTGTTGCCTCCTTAGAAGAACTACTCTTAAGAATATTTCAGGCAGCAAATGACCTTCGCAATAACCAAGAACTGTGTGCGAATGCGTTATAACTTCAACAGACATATTCATATTAGGTTATGCTTGCAGCAAAGTGGAAATTATTTCGAGAATATTCTTTAAATTTAATTTTGCATTTCTTGTTTTTCGTTTGTATTAAATTTTATTTGAGATAAACAACTTTACCTGATACATGTCCCATAGTCATAAGCTATCAAACATTTTTCATTAATTAACAGCAAATTATTCTTAATGTTATTATTAAAATACCAGCTTATTGACAGAAAGTGTCAATTTATTAATATGATAAATAACAATTTATTTGTTATGACATCCGCCTACTTTATTTTTACGAATTTTCGCAATTACCCCTTTAGTGAACGATGACGCATTTAATTTTTTTACTAGAAAACTATCGGTTTTATCGAAAAATTACAAGAGGTAAAAAAGTTGCGCAATAAATCACTCTTCGCAATAAATATTTTTAAATAAATAATTTGCATCATATAAAAAATTTCTAATAAAAATATTGCAATGGGGTAGACTGTTTCACTCCTTTATAAAATACGCCAATGATAGAACAAACATTGAAAAATTGTCTCTTTATTAGTAGGATGTTCATACCAAGTTTCGTGTCCCTAGTATTCCCCATGTAAAAGAAAAAAATTTAAATGTGAATTTCAGTCCCCTCCTCTAAAAGGGTATATCGCCTCAGGGGTGCAACTTTCATATAAGGTATTTTTCCTTCAATCCTCTTATTTTTGGCTCTACATTCACTGGTACCATTTTTGCTACTTCATTTAAAAATACCCTGTATACGTATTTTATTATTCAGATCATGTATTTGTCACTTTATTTGTCATCTCTTTGTAAAAAATTATAAAAATCGGTCCCTTCTCGTATGAAAGTGACGTATTATTTCCTAACAGCCGTTATTCCATGGGCTACTAATAAATGTCGTAATAAATAGCTAAAAGCGCGACCCCACCTTTGAATCATCGTTCGTCGTTTGTCCGGTCGTTTTCTAGATGAGAAAACAAAATGCCAGAAAATTCTCGATCGGTTTCGGGAATTTTTGTACATCCGCCTTGTGCTTTGTCGAATTCGACAGTTTTAGAGGTGAAATTTGTATCAGTTAGTTTGTAAATAATTCTTATTTTGTTAATACCAATCACTTGATTGGCATATTTTCTATTAAAATGTGACTTGCCATCCGGAATTTTAAGGATAACAACAAATAAAATAACAATAAACATTTTTCGTCAGGAGCTTCTTAGAATAGACGAATAGAAGAGGAGTCATTGCATCTGAAGTGACAGTATCGTTGTGTCATCGCTATCTTTTGTTCTTATTTTCAAAAAGTCACGTTTACTTTGGACACAAATATCTTTAAGTGACAAGAAAAAATTTTAAGTGTGATTGCGCCTAGCAAGAGAGATTTTTTCGGCTATTTTTTTCGTTGCCGTTAAACTAAAAGCAAACAAAGAGGCTAGAAAGGCAGTACCTGCCAGATTTAAGTACCAAATTTACGCCTTGTGGCAGGTAGGAGACATTCTTCGACGGGGCCGTGTTTATTTAGACCCACCTGTCTTTCTCGACGTAATGTTTACGATGGCGTACCCCGAAAGTAAACCAAACAAATCTCTTGAGGTGTACGGAAAAATAAACGGGTTTCCGTCAAGAAGGAG